AGAAAATATTAAAATATATAAATATATATATATATATGTGTGTGTGTGTGTGTGTGTGTGTGTGTGTGTGTGTGTGTGTGTGGGTGTGTGTATGTGTGTGTGTGTGTGTGTGTGTGTGTGTGTGTGTGTGTGTGTGTGTGTGTGTGTGTGTGTGTGTGTGTGTTTAACTACAAAACTGTAAACAAAAATGTAAAAATATCAATTAGAAATGAAAGTACTAAAATAAGTGAAACTGAAAAGTTAACATACACTGAACAAAATTATGTTTGCTGTTTGTTCAAAAAATAATGAGCTGAAACAGCACAATTTTTATTTAATTGTTTTTTGTTCAATCCACTTAAATTAAAAAAAAATTCTGTTAACTGCTTCATGTTATCCCAACACAAATTGGTCAAGTTAACTTAATTATTCTTACAAATTTAGGTGGATTGAACATAATACAATTAAGTTATCCCGAAAATACTCAATTGTGTTCATTCAGCTCATTTCAAACTCAACCCAGGCTCATGCTGAAAACGTACACCTATATACATTTTTGGAGAGCGCCAAATTACCCACTTTCTGGAACTGTACTTTGCCAGACTTGAACTCCATGTCATGGTCAACTTCTCTCTGCATCTCAAGTCCTCCAATGTACATGTTGAGCTACTGGACAAACTGGTAACAGTGGGAGAGCCATTTATACGGAGGTAAGTGGTCAGCTAGTAAGCACGAAAAGGAATATCGCTCCACCGCCCCATATCGGTCATTTTAAAGACAAAATGAAGCCATACTGTGCATACTTCTAGCTACATAATTCACATTCTTCAGAAATGAATATAGGGCTACGTTTTCAGAATGAGCCTATGTTGTTTAAATAAGTACTCTCACTGTTGTAACAATACACCGGTATGACGGTCTACCACGATTTGAACTTGCACGATTATCATACCATGAACAATTGCATATCAACGGTTTTAACCCTTAAAGACCGAGACAGCCGCCCGCGGCTAAAAATAAGTATTGCTCTTAAATGTTTAATAACTTTTGATCCGCTGAGCCGATTCATACAATTAAAAAATTGGCATAAAGAAGAGAATCTCAGCTTTCCAGTGCTGTATAACATAACATAACATAACGCGGACTTGCAGAGGCTCCGGAATCAGTGCGGTTGCGTCATCAACATTTGACAACGCTGATTTGACAAAGAAACGCTTGTCACTGTGTCTCCGGACAAACCAGACATGATGCATTGATGCATTGTCTCTCCTCCATGCCCAGATTGGTTCAAACTCGCTATATCACAACCAATAAGCATAGGTTTCGCTTTTGTTTGTGGACCAACAACAAGCTTTTTGAACAACACAGAATGAGAGATAGGCTGTACATTTATGCGCGGCTAAATAAAACGCAAAAAAAAAAGTTTTGCATGAAATAATTCTCATACTAAGTACTTTTGCATGCACAGCAGCACAGAAACATGACAAAACAGTGACACAGCAAAGACGAACTGCTGCTCTTGCTGTTTTCAAAAGACACAAATGAAGGTGCAGCTGTTTGTCTGCATTGCAGACAACCATATCCAAATCCATATCCACAGACAACCATATCCATGCTGGCACATAAAACCTAAGGATGTTCCATATTGAATCTAGTTTCGTTATGTAACTATTTATAGTATAGTAAATATTTATATCTATTTTTTTACTGAGGATTTGCACCATGTTTATTTGGACTTTATTTGGACTTTGACACATTATTTATTATTTTATTATTTTTTTATTTGTTCATTGTAAGTGGTGTTGTTTATAGTAACTGAAAATATATTAATTGGAAAAAGTCAAATTTGCTTCACTGTTCTATTATTTTGTAACATTTGTAGCATACCGTATACCGCGAAACCGTCAAACCGTGGTATTGTTTTAGACGATTATCATACCGTGAAAAATTCATACCGTTACAACCCTACTCTCACTTATACTCTCACAGGACATTTTTGAGTGCAGTACTTGGGTTGAAACTCAAAAATATCCTGAAGTTTGTTGCCTAAAGTTTGCCAACTTTTTTTTACAGTGTTAAACAATTAGCCAAAATATTTTTTAAATCCCATAACTAAATTACTGAATATAAGTAACAATAATAGTGAAATTACACAACAAAATTATAAAAATAATGACATTTTTAACAGTAAAATGAAAGCTGCAAATATAACAACTCAGTGAATATCAGTAATTACTACAACAATAATGTAAATAACCCCAAAATGAAGCTGGTGCAAAAATAAAGGTTCTCATTTACAAGCTTTGTTTGAACTGAGGAATTCCTCTCCTGATCCCACGTCATTTTCCCCATGAAACTCTTAACCTTTCACCTCTGAAGACTCTTTTGGAATTCCATTTATTCCCACACAGAGGATTCTATTGTTCGAAGGCCTGCCTGACATCTTAATTCAAAGTCTTGTTCTGCAAATCAGCTGATCTCGCTTTACACCAAATCAAATAACAAAAAATAAATAAAATTATGTTTTGCGTTGGGTAATGCTTTAGAAGAGTTCTCCGTTAGTTAATGTTAATTAATATATTTACTAACATGAACAAACAATTATTAATACATTTATTATAGCATTCATTCATTCGTTCGTTCATTTTCTTTCGACTTACTTCCTTTATTCATCAGGGGTCGCCACAGCAGAATGAACTACCATCTTATCTAGCATATGTTTTACACAGCTGATGCCCTTCCAGCTGCAACCCAATACTGGGAAACACCCATACACTCTCACATGCACACACATACACTACGGCCAATTTAGTTTAGTCCATTCACCTATAGTGTTTTGGACTGTGGGGTAAAGCGGAGCACCCTCAGTGTAAACCCACGCCAACGCAGGGAGAACATGCAAACTCCACACATTAATAACAACCTTCTTGCTGTGAGGCAACAGTGCTAACATACTGAGCCACAGTGTCACACTTATGGTATTTTTAAAGTTAATGTTAATAAATAATAATTGTATTACTAATTGTTTGCTTGATTTTAATAATGCATTAGTTGATGTTGAACTATGATTAATAAATGAATTACAAGATTATTCATACTTAGCTCATGTTAATAAATGCATGAACTAATATACCATTATTCTAAAGTGTTAGCAAATATTTTTAGGACCATGACAGACTTTGTGTGTCTACTTTATATTTATTTCCTTTCTCCAAATCATGATTAAAAAAAAAGATTAGAAGCTTCATCTATAGCAAAAAATGTGCATTATTTCTGCTGAGATTAAAGCTTGTCAGTTAGCAAAATATGATCATTAAAAAGTATATATATATATATATATATAGCTATAGATAGATAGATAGATAGATAGATAGATAGATAGATAGATAGATAGATAGATAGATAGATAGATAGATAGATAGATAGATAGATAGATAGATAGATAGATAGATAGATAGATAGATAGTTTGATAGATAGATAGATAGATTTCTAACAAAATAATGTACGGTAATGATTCAAAAACTAGGACAGCCAAATCTATATGTTATAGAAAAATATTAAATACAAATTTAAAAAAGAGAAAAAATAAACTAAAATTTTTTTTTTTGCAATATTCATCTTGAATTTAATAGCAGTATCTTTCTATTTCTTAATTTGGCAACTAAAATATTATCTTAAATAAATCAGCCATATCGCACTGCTACTCGTGTGATATTGCTCATATATATATACAGTTGAAGTCAGAATTATTATCCCCCCTGAATTATTAGCCTCCCTGTTTTTTTTCCCCTCAATTTCTGTTTAACGAAGAGAAGATTTTTTTAACACATTTCTTTTTTTAAACAGCTTTAATAACTCATCTCTAATAACTGATTTATTTCATCTTTGCCATGATGACTACAAAATAGTTCACCAGATATTTTTGAAGACACTTCTATACAGCTTAAAGTGACATTTAAAGGCTTAACTAGATTAATTAGGTTAACTAGGCAGGTTAGGATAATTAGGCAAGTTATTTTATATAATATACATATACACTATATTTTTTTATAAATACTAATAAAACATAATGTGAAAATGTCCTTGCTTTGTTAAACATCATTTGGAAAATATTTAAAAAAGGAAAAAAAAACAGGGGGGGGGGGGGGTTAATAATTCTGACGTCAACTGTATATATTTACTCTCTTTTTTTATATATAGTATATATATAGTTTATTTATTTTAAACTTTACCTTTATTACACTTAAGTGAAAATAATTAATTATGTGTTAATTTTTTTAAATACTGTTCATAACCCCATTTTTAAAAAACTTCTTTAAACCAGAGATGCCCAAACTAGGGCTCACGGGCCAAAGTTGGCCCATGGTAACCTTTGATTTGGCCCTCCATCCCATCAAAAAGAGTGATGGTGCATGTTGGGGCAAGTGCCTTTAACTGAGATTGTCCTTTCTAATGTCACATAACCTTCTTTCTGTCTGTTTGTTTTATTGCTCAGCTATGAAAAAAGCTAACTGAAATTAAATGTTTTAATGAAATCTTATCTTTAGATGAATATGATTTTTAAAAATGGAAATAGCCTACTGTCACTCGACAGACAAAAGACAATGCAGAAAACATCGGCGAGAAAATCAAGGCATGAACAAGAGCTCCACTGAACTCCATTCTGTTATAAATGGGATTGTTTTTGTTTTTTAATATAGGCTACACCGTTAATTATGAAATGTGAAAAATTATACTACATTAGTAAATATAACGCAATGTTTTTTAATTTTTTATTTTATTTTATTTAATTACCCATAGCAACTGTTTGGTATTTACCTTCGGTCCACCACCCTAAATCAAGTTTTTGACCCCACATAAGAAAAAGTTTGGGCACCCCTGGTTTAAACACACCCTCCGGCTGACAGTGGGCGGGGTCAACATGCTGTTCTCGCCCTCTGAATGGCTAAAAGCAACAGGAGGCGTGGCTTCACGGACAACACTCATGTTGGTTCACTCTCACCGCTGCGGTTTGATTGACAGATCAGTCTGATTGTAATTCAGCGAAGGATCCTGGAAGAATCCACAGCGCAATGTCAAGTCCAAAGAGAGTTTGCATCGTCGGTTCTGGAAACTGGTAATAAAAAACACTCATTTGTATCTTCTTCTAGAAATCACAGCAGGGGGTCAGGATCATATGACAGACTACGACTTGGTTTAAACACTACAAAGGCTCACAAGCAATACTCAATCACAAGCTATAAAAGTTTAAGGTTATGATATGTTAAAAAGAAAACATTAATACAGATGTTTACAATATAGTCTTAATACACAATATTAGATTTCACTTTAAAGGTTTTGCTTAACAGCTGTGAATGTGCCTTTTACCGACCCGAATACTATTTATCACTGTGTTTACATGAGCCATTTGTAACATCGCTGCAATGCAAAAGCAAGCGGGGCACATGTTCCAGTCACTCACACCGGTTTCACACGGTTACTTCAGTGTTTATGTTTCGTCTTTGAGGTAAAGTTGGTTATATATTCACACAATCGTTAGGTGACAACTTGTGACAGGCAAATTGTTGAATATTCGGTCAAAAATAGCATTAAAGTTTGACTTCAAAACAACATTAGCACAATTTACAATAAACAGTCTTGTACTTTGATAGTCATTAGCTGCTAACATGACTTACCTATTTAGAATGAGCAAATAATACTTTTCTGAAAGTAAAGTATTAAGGAGAAAGTCTGAATGTGCAAATAAAACCAACATTACCTCAATATTTTCAACTAACCAACCTGCAGACCTTTTATATCTTTCAGTATAATGCCCATAATGTCTTAAATCCTGTCACCTCAATGTGTAATATGCATAACAATGATGACATTACCTTTTAGTCCCATATGAAACAATACTGTAGTAATTTTCTGTCGTGTTTTTGAGCAGTAGTAACGTGTAATATACTGTATAGTATTTACAACACTTTGTTAATGAATGCTGTATTAATGTATGTACTAAATATACTGTTAACTATAATAATAACAACTGTAGTGTACTTTAGTTTTTACTGCAGTAAACTATGGTGTACTTTATAGTATAGTTGTATTCAGGGGCGCAACTGCACATTTACTCATGGGTATGCGGCTTCAACTTTTGCGCACCCCCACTCAATTCAATTATATTTTAAAACAGGCAAGTGACAGTGCCAAAATATTTCCATTAATAAACTAAAGATTTTTTTTTATTTTTATCATCAACAAGCTTCAAGCGAATACATTTCGCAGTTCTGAACACAACTGAAAAAGTATGAAGTAGTAAAAGGTATAACATTAAGCATGTTAAGTCGCAAAGAATTACATCTCATCAAGCCCCAAATTTCTTCTCAGTTTAATTTTCCTCACAAAATGATTATTGCACCTTAACTTGCCTTGCTTTTGGACTTTTTGTACTACATTTGTCAAAACAAAATGATAGACATGGGAGTCCTAAAGTGCAAAAGAACTGCAATTACTTCTCTGCAAGAGGTATAAGGTCTATCTTTGCATGAACAATTGATTGAAACTGCTATTACACCTCTCAATAAGTGAAATAAAAAAAGACTGTAAAATGTTTAGTGTAAAAAACAAAGACCAAAGACATAAAACTTATCTGGTAATTTGTTTGTATCACTATCGTTTGTTTAGTGCCGTAGCTAAAGTAGAAATCACAACATGATAATTTAAGTACTTTACTGCAGTATTGTTAAAAAATACTATACAGTAGTAGATTATAAATTACTATAGTATTTCATTCATGTACACAACATTATTAATGTAAACATGTCTGCTGTTCATGATTTAGAGCATCTCAAACTCAATTCCTGAAGTGCCGCAGCTCTGCACAGTTTTGCTCGAGCCCTAATCAGACACACCTGATCCAAATAATCAAGGTGTTCAAGACTACTCTGGAACACCTTCATTAGTTGGATCAGCTGTCTTAGAATAGAGTTGGAGCAAAACTGTGCAGAACTGCAGGAACTGAGTTTGAGATCTATGATTTAGAGGTTTTTACGTGGGAGTAAATCTAAATTTCACACTAAACAATGCTGTAAAAATAAGTGTTTATACAACAAACCATCTTTTTGTTTATATATTTACTGCAGTTGAGAGCCATTATTAATTCAGTGAATGCATGTAGTGGAAGTTGAGGTAAATTAGGCGTCAATTTTACAAGCAACTGCAAATATTTTTTCACTAAATATTGATAATTATACTTAAAAGGACAACCCCCCCCAACACCACCCCCTCCCAACCAAAAATAAACAATTTACTTATACTCTAATCGATCCATTCAATTTATTACTTTTGTTAAACACAAAAGAAGATATACCGAAGAATCTTTGGGAAAAAAGTCACTAACTTCCATAGTTTATTGTGTTTATAGGACTGCACGATTTTGGAAAAATCTGAAAAAGTGATATTTTATTTTTCTGTGATAATTATTGTTATACAAATAGCTCTATTTAGCAGTTTTCTGGGGAGTATTCAGGTATTCAGGTACAAAAATTTAATATTCTCACTGCAAAAAATACTTTTCTTCTTTTGCTTTGTCTTGATCTACTCCAAATATATAAAACATTCTTAAATCAAGTAGAAATATTGTTTTGTTTTCACCTTCAAAATTAACAGCTTATTTTGCAAAATTATCTGCCAATGGGGTAAGTTAAATATTTTTTTTCCGTTTTGAAATGTAGATATTTGGACTAGAAAAAAGACAACAATTCTGAAAGATTATTTTTTTTTGCATAAATCATATCAATTTTATATAAATGATACATTGTTTCACCTCCAGTGATCATAATTATTTTGTGCCCAAATATTTTAAACTATCTTGAAATGCTCAGTCACATGCCTTAACAACACACACAAGTGATAACCCCAATATGCATTTCTGGAGATCGCGAATTATGTAGCCAGAGGAACGTATGGCTGCATTTCATCTTTAAAAATGAAGGTGGCATGACGCCGCTCTTTTTGCGCTTACTAGCTGACCGATCACCTCTGTGTGGACAGCTTTTTCCGCTGTTACCAGTTTGTCCAGTGCCTTTTCGCGTACGATGAAGGATTTGAGATGCAGAGTTGACCGAGACGATGGGGTTTGAGTCTGGCGAAGAATAATTCCAGAAAGCGGTTAAGACAAAAACAGAAATAACAGATTGAGAATGTGATAAATACTGAAAACGTAGTAAAAATCAAGCTGCCACGAGAGCTTTTCTTTTTCTGGATTGCTTTTCAAAACACTGCCGGTTGGGTTTAATGGCTGGGCGCTGGTCAATTGGTGCTTTTTAAAACACTATTAGATAGGTTTAGGGTGGGGGATGGGGTGGTCGGTCAGTCAGTCAGTCAGTAAAAGGCAGGGATCACCAAACTTGTTCCTGGAGGGCCGGTGTCCTGCAGATTTTAGCTCCAACCCTTATCAGACACACCTGAACAAGCTAATCAAGGTCTTACTAAGTATACTTGAAACACCCAGGCAGGTGTGTTAAGGCAAGTTGGAGCTAAACCCTGCAGGGACACCGGCCCTCCAGGGCCGAGATTGGTGACCCCTGGTAAAAGGGGTCACCCACCAGATGTGCCGTGCCGCACCACGCAGCACCATGCATTTTAGAATTCTAAACATAAATATCTATCAATCAGGGTATGCACACCGGTGCCGCTAGTCACCCGCTGTCCACGGCGCCCAGCTATGACTCGGGACACTGTACATATTTTTGCGTGCTACAAAGCACCATCTGAATAGTTCCTTATTAAATAACATTTAAATAAGCGTGTCTGGGCGTTACCTTAGTGGGTGTTACTAGGTCCACGTAAGTCCTATAAACTTTTGAGATCTAAAAAAGTGTACACAGCGGCCTCTGGCGGATTCGCGATAACAAGACCTGAAAAAAAAATGTAGCTCCTGTGACGTATTTGGCGCTCTCCAGAAATGTATATAGAGGTAATCAGAATGAGCCTGGATTGGATAAACTTTCACTCCATTATGGTTAAGCAGTGACTTTTCAAATCACATGTGTTCTGTTCCTCCTGGTCAACTATTATTCAGACTCAACATTGCATATCTTGCGATGTGACTATTGCAGATGCGCATATGATGCTGAACCAGTTTATTGTGCAGCCCTACTACTATGGGATGTCAATCGCTGTTTGTTTTGTGTTCAACTAAGGAAAGAAATTAAGTTTATAACCACTTTTTTGGAAATAGGAATTACTTTTTTTTATTTATGGGGGAACTTTCCCTTTTAAGAAGCAAAATGACATCAGATATTTAGTCACATTTTAGAATTGTTTTAAAAAATGAAATCTGCTAAGTATGCTACAAATTCGATCGCTTCCCATTTTTCTTACACCATTACAAGGCGTAATTTCTTGCTTTAAGCATAGACTTGCTTCATTTTAAAACTTTCACTTCAGAAGTGACTTCAAAAATGAATCTAAACATAATAAACTGTGACATAAAAATGAAATCACAGCAGACTTGTGTATTTGGTGAATAAAGCGCAGACTAGTTCTCCCCCACTGCATTAGCTGATCACTATCAACACCTGCTTGAAATGCAAAACGTCTCTTTTGATAAGAAACCTGAGGGGTTTGACCAGATTAAAGGCCTTTGTTAGTTTTCAGCCTATAGCGCGTGCTCACAGTATTGTAAAACTGCATGCGAGCTTTCACATGATTAATTTTGTGTGTGTGTGTGTGTGTTGTCTGCAGGGGCTCTGCTATTGCTAAAATAGTTGGTGCAAATGCAAGGAACAATTCAAAGTTTGACTCCACGGTTAACATGTGGGTGTTTGAGGAGATGGTGAACGGACGCAAACTCACCGAGATCATAAACACAGAGCACGAGAATGTCAAGTATTTGCCTGGACACAAGCTCCCAGAGAATGTTGTAAGAAACTTTGTATTTTAATAAACTAATGTTAAAAAAAAAAAGATGTTCACCTTCTGAGTAGCAAATACACAAATGTATTAATATACCTGAATTATAATCATTACAATTATTATTATTTATTTGTCTGTTATTTCACAACAATAAAATATTGGATTACTTAATAAAAAGGGTCTTAAGAAACTAGATTTTAATTAAGTTACAAATCGAATTAAATTAGCATAAAATCTGCATTATTGATTTTACATATATGGTATAATATTTATAAGTATGAATACGTATTATAAGTATGAATATTTTGCGAAGAGCAAAGTAAAAAATATAACTTAATACAATACACTACCTGACAAAAGTCTTGTCGTCGATCCCAGTTGTAAAAGCAACAAATAATAACTTGACTTCTAGTTGATCATTTGGAAAAGTGGCAGAAAGCAGATTTTTCTGATGAATCATCTGTTGATCTGCATCCCAATCATCACAAATACTGCAGAAGACCTACTGGAAACCACATGGACCCAAGATTCTCAGAGAATTGGTGACAGAAAAATCATAGTTTGGGGTTAAATTCAGCATGGGGGTGTGCGAGAGATCTGCAGAGTGGATGGCGACATCAACAGCCTGAGGTATCAAGACATTTGTGCAGCCCATTACATTACAAACCATAGGAGAGGGCAAATTCTTTAGCAGGATAGCGCTCCTTCTCATACTTCAGCCTCCACATCAAAGTTTCTGAAAGCAATGAAGGTCAAGGGGCTCCAGGATTGGCCAGCCCAGTCACCAGACATAAACATTATTGAGCATGTCTGGGGTAAAATGAAGGAGGAGGCATTAAAGATGAATCCAAAGAATCTTGATGAACTCTGGGAGTCCTGCAAGAATGCTTTCTTTGCCATTCCAGATGACTTTATTTATTTATTTATTTTTTTGAGTTATGCACAATATTAAGTCTTTTTCCACTGCATCATGACTTTATATTCTATACCGCACATTATTTCTGTTAAGTGACAAAACTTTTGACAAAGCAAAATCAGACGTTGCCTTTCATATATACCACTTCTGATACGAAATGATCAGTTAGAAGTCAAGTTATTATTTGTTGTTCCTAAAACTTAGGCGACAAGACTTGTCATGTAGTGTATGTTATTCTAAAATAATAATAAAATTATAAGAAATAAAAATAATTTTCAACATAATTGTATTGTAATATATAATTTAGTAATAAAGAAAAAATATATATTTTTAATACTTATTAATACTAGTTCATTTATTAATATTTCATATGTTTGTTACGACCCTTGATTGAAATATTTATTGGAAATTAAAAGGAGTAACACTGATATGACCAAAAGAATAAACTAATGGTAAAGGTACTTATATAAAGTATATAAAAACCATATATATTACTATACATTTTCCTACTAATAATCATAGTTTTACCACTATTAATGCTATAACTATATATTAAAATCATTTATATACAAATAAAACTATACATTCAGCCATAAGATTCCACCACTGAGCACACAGGCAAAAGTTTTGCTTGGGAATTTGTTCAAAAAGCACAGTAGAGGAAACAAACACAATACAGAAGTCTGGAGGACAGTGCTGAGACACGAGATTTTTTTTCCCCTCCAAAACCTCAGAGAAGCGCTTGTTTCTGCAAAGGAAACCATTCTTTTGTACACAAGCAACTAATAAGAAGGAGCTGACAAAGCTATATGTGGTTTCTCCACCATTATGACCTTTACAGTGTCAGCTAAACATATCAGCCTAACTAGAGGACTAGAAATACACTGGCAGAGGGAAAAGAGACATAGTGAACTAGGAGGATTCATTGGTGAACAAGGTGGTTTTGGCTTGACATGGAGCCAAATTCCGGCAAAAAGAATAAAGTGAAAATAATGGTCTCATAATAAAACATCAAAAAAGCACTTTACATGGGAGAAGAAAACAAGGAATTTGACTTTACATGTATTCCAACCACTACAAATAAACAAAATTACTTAAGATCTTTTTAAAAATAATGATTAACATTCCTCTATGTAGTTTATTTTTGTGACCTGACTGATGTTTTTCTTGTTTCAAATTTTAATACATTGACTATTGAAAATAAGCCTTGTTTGCTGTAATGTAATGTAAAATAATTCAGCTTTTGCTTAATAAAAAAGAAAGAAACATTTGGAAACATTTATCTTAAAAGCAAAATTGACATTTTAAGATTTGTTTTCCCAAAAACCTATATATATTACTTAATTAGTATGTCTATGTGAATATACAACTTATAAAAACCGCAAAACACTAAAACATAATGGTGAATATTCCCACAAAAAATGAAAAATCATTTTTTATTAACTCACCTTCATGTCCTTTCAATCTCCAGACACTTTTGTTCATCTTCAGAACACAAATGAAGATATTTTACATGCAATCAGAGAGCTCTCTTATCCTCCATAAACAGCATGAATAGTTATGAGACGTTCAAAGTCCAGAAAATGAACCAAAGGCATTATCGAAAATTCTTCGACTGTAATCAATTGAAGCTCCAAGAACAATTTTGTGATGCAAAAAGGCTGTAAACACAACATTGCTCGTCTGTGACTTCCGTATCAGATCAGATTGCATGTTTACCGTGTTTACGACTTGTCAAATGTCGCTAGATGATATCATACATCAATTTGCATGTTTCTCACATCATACTGACAGTTGACAACACTGTAAATGCACACCCTGATCTGATATGGAGGTCATACAATGTCATAGATTTAAAAAAATGTTCTTGGAGCTTCATTTGATAACTGTTAAAGTCACCTGGAAAGATTTGACAATGATTTTAGTTCCTTTTCTGGTGTTTGAACGTTTCTACACCCTCAATGGAGGATGAGGGAGCTCTCAGATTTCATCTAAAATATCTCTATTAGTGTTCTGAAGATGAATGAAGGTCTCAGGGCATTTGTTTTCCCAAAACTGTAAAAATATTACTTAATTAGTAAGTCTATGTGAATATACAACTTATTAAAACACTAAAACATAATGTTGAATATTCCCACAAAAATGAAAAATTGATTATTAATAACTCATCGTCATGTCCTTCCCATTTCCCGAGCTTTTCGTTCATCTTCAGAACACAAATGAAGATATTTTACATGCAATCAGAGAGCTCTCTTAACCTCCATAAACAGCATAAACAGTTATGAGACGTTCAAAGTCCAGAAAATGAACCAAAAGCATTATCGAAAATTCTTCAACTGCAATCAAATGAAGCTCCAAGAACAATTTTGTGATGCAAAAAAACTGTAAACACAACATTGTTCGTCTATGACAGATCAGATTGCATGTTTACCGTGTTTACGACTGTCAAATGTTGCTAGATGATATCATACATCAATTTGCATGTTACTCACTTCATACTGACAGTTGACAACACTGTAAATGCTCACCCTGATCTGATATGGAGGTCATACAATGTCATAGATAAAAAAAAAATGTTCTTGGAGCTTCATTTGATAACCGTTGAAGTCACATGGAAAGTTTTGACAAAGATTTTAGTTCCTTTTCTGGTGTTTGAACGTTTCTACACCCTCAATGGAGGATGAGGGAGCTCTCAGATTTCATCTAAAATATCTCTATTAGTGTTCTGAAGATGAATGAAGGTCTCAGGGCATTTGTTTTCCCAAAACTGTAAAAATATTACTTAATTAGTAAGTCTATGTGAATATACAACTTATTAAAACATTAAAACATAATGTTGAATATTCCCACAAAAATGAAAAATTGATTATTAATAACTCATCGTTATGTCCTTCCCATCTCCCGAGCTTTTCGTTCATCTTCAGAACACAAATGAAGATATTTTACATGCAATCAGAGAGCTCTCTTAACCTCCATAAACAGCATAAACAGTTATGAGACGTTCAAAGTCCAGAAAATGAACCAAAAGCATTATCGAAAATTCTTCAACTGCAATCAAATGAAGCTCCAAGAACAATTTTGTGATGCAAAAAAACTGTAAACACAACATTGTTCGTCTATGACAGATCAGATTGCATGTTTACCGTGTTTACGACTGTCAAATGTTGCTAGATGATATCATACATCAATTTGCATGTTACTCACTTCATACTGACAGTTGACAACACTGTAAATGCACACCCTGATCTGAAATGGAGGTCATACAATGTCATAGCCCTGCTGGAAAATCCAGCTTAAACCAGCCTAGGCTGATTGGCTGGTTTTAGAGGGGTTTTGGCCATTTCCAGACTGGTCTTAGCTGGTCAGGCTGGAATATGACCAGCTAAATCCAGCTAAAACCAGCTTGACCAGCCCGGTTTAAGCTGGACATAGCTGGTTTTAGCTGGGCTCTCAGCCTGGCTAGGCTGGTCAAGCTGATTTTAGCTGGTCATCTCCCAGCCTGACCAGCTAAGACCAGGCTGGAAATGGCTGGAAACCAGCCTGGAAGTGGCCAAAACCCCTCTAAAACCAGCCTGGTCAACCAGCTAAAACCAGCCAACCAGCCTAGGCTGGTTTAAGCTATTTTGTTTCAGTAGGGAGATTAAAAAAATTCTTGGAGCTTCATTTGATAACCGTTAAAGTCACCTGGAAAGTTTTGACAATGATTTTAGTTCCTTTTCTGGTCTTTGAACGTCTATACTCCCTCAATAGAGGATGAGGGAGCTCTCAGATTTCCTCTAAAATATCTTAATTAGTGTTCTGAAGATGAATGATGGTCTCAGGGGATTGAAATAACAATAATATATTCTTCAAACTAGGTTGAAGAATGTTTACATGTTAGTCCTCCAAAGCCAATCATTTAGTTAATGTATTGGGTTTCTGCAGGTTTCATCACTCAGAGCCTTCTCTGTATTCCTCTCTCATCCTCTCTCTCGCTCTCAGGTTGCGGTGGCAGATTTAGTCGAGGCTGCCAAGAGTGCTGACATTCTGCTCTTTGTGATTCCACATCAGTTCATCGGCCGAGTTTGTGACACCATGAAGGGCAAAATCAAAGCGGACGCGCTGGGCATGTCACTCATCAAGGTCTCTACACTCATGAATATATTCATCCTCCTCCTTACTCAGCAGGAAAAGTTGCTTTCTAAGATCACGAGACGGTCACGTCTGACACAAATAGCACTGATGACTCGGCGTGTGGACAGAGCTGGAGGAATTACACCAATTTAACACTTGAGTAAAAGTACAGATTCCCTAATGAAAATGTTTTAATTCGAAAAGTGGGAAAGTAGAAAGTGCTTGAGTTTTAATGTAAACCACCAATTTTTGAGAGATTATTTTTTGCTTATAAAAATGCATTTATTTGATCTGCAATACAAATGTTAAACTGAATTGTTATTGCAATTTATGTAAAATAACAGTATTTGTCATTAATTCCTGTGATTTAAAGCTACATTTTCAGCATCATTACTCCACTATTCAGTGTCGTGGTCTTTTAGAAATTCATCTAATATGCTGATTTGCTCTTCTATTGTGATCAGTTATTTTTTTTGATACACAATCATTAATATTAATTTCAATAATTAAATTTTTAGGGTGGCACGGTGGCTCAGTGGTTAGCATTTTTGCCTCACAGCAAGAAGGTTGCTGTGTAAAACATATACTGGAGTAGTTGGCGTGGTTCATTCTGCTTTGGCAACCCCTGGTACATAAGGGGCTAAGCCGAAGGAAAATGAATTAATAAATAAATGAATGAATCAATGATTTTATAATTGTTATGTGGAAACGCTTTCTCGCATTATTTGATGAAAAGAAAGTTCAGTGTTGTGTGTTTCTAACGAAATCTTTTTACATTATACTCTAAATGTCAGACGTAAAAAGATTTTGATGGAAGTTAATGATATCACAGTTTCCACAAAAAATAATAACCCATCAGTTTTCCACACTGAAAATAATAAGAAGAAATGTCTATTGAGCATTTTCTGAATGTGTACAATATTTGGCTTTGAAATGTCCTTAAGTAAAAGTAAAGGTGTACGGAAATAAAATAAAAATAAAATATTAAATTAAAATAAAAGGTAGAAATTAGGGCTGAAAAATATATCATTTGAGCATCAACATCGTAATGGATCTGCAGTAGTCACATTGCAGGATAGGATTATTCATTAAACATTAAAAGATAAAGATGTTATTAAAAAATATATGTAAATATATATTTGTTCATATCATATATACATAATTAGTTTTATTATTCATGCAATGGTGAACATGTTATTTTACATTTGATTGTTTAATTTCTGTATTTGAAAATTGTTACATTTCCCAGAAAACCACAAAGCACAGTTTGTTTACGGTTTGTTTGCTTGTAATTTTCTATAATTTATTCAGATCCGCTGCATAGAAAAAGACTTAATCATCCCAGTCAATCTAAATAATAAACACTTTCCAAATAGAGCTATTTAAGTCATTTAGTGAAATTGTTTTCATGTCGCAATATACAGTTGAAATCATAATTATTTGCCCTCCTGTGATTTTTTTTCTTTTTCAATTATTTCCCAAATCATGTTTAACAGATTCAGGAATTTTTCACAGTATTTGCTGTAATATTTTTTTCTTCTGGAGAAAGTCAGATTTTTTTTTATATAGGCTAGAATAAAAGCAGTTTGTAATTAAAAAAAACATTTTAAGGTAAAAATTATTTGCCCTCTCAAGCAATATTTGATCAGATTGTTTATAGAAAAAAACATTGTTACTCAATGATTTGCCTAATTACCCTAAATTGCCTAATTAACCTAGTTAAGACTTAAGATGTCACTTTAAGCTGAATACTAGTATCTTGAAAAATATCTAGTCAATTATTATGTGCTGTCATCATGGCAATGATTAAAGAAATCAGTCATTAAAACTATTATGCTTAGAAATGTGTTGGAAAAAAATCTTTCTGTCAAACAGAAATTGGCGGGAAAAATATACAGGAGGGCTAATCATTTCGAATAAAGAGGGCTAATTCTGACTTCAACAGTATATCGCAGTAAAACACTCCAATATCATGCAGGCCTAGTAGAGATGTCTACAAGATTAAGTACAGAATAAGAAGCTTATGTACAGTAACAGTAGTAAACGTCCTCTGTGTGTTGTTGTTGTTCAGGGTGTGGATGAAGGGCCAGACGGACTCAAGCTGATCTCAGAGGTGATTGAGGAGAAGTTGGGCATCAGCATGAGTGTGCTGATGGGGGCAAACATCGCTAATGAGGTCGCAGACGAGAAGTTCTGTGAGACCACCATCGGTGAGGCTGATTAAAATAATGTAAAGGTGTCAGATGCTCTTTTGTTGATTTTGATAGCTTCTACTGTCTTTAAAAAAACATTCCCGAGAACCGGCTAAGGACTCTTGTTAACTCTTCTATTATTAACTCTCTCAGTTCTGTTTTATTTCCTTTACTTTCTTCGGCTTAGTCCTTTATTTATCAGAGGTCACCACAGTGGAATGAACCACCAACTATTCCGGCATATGTTTTATGCAGCGGATGCCCTTCCAGCTGCAAACACAGTACTGAGACACTACATGACACTACAGCCAATTTTATGGTCGTTGGTTTGAGTACCGACTGGGCCAGTTGGCATTTCTGTGTGGAGTTAGCATGTTCTCCCCGTGTTGACGTGGGTTTCCTCCGTACACATCCACTGTAGGTGAATTGGGTAAACTAAATTGGCTGAAGTGTATGTGTGTGAATGTGAGAGTGTATGGGTGTTTCCCAGTACTGCATTGTGGCTAGAAGGGCATCTGCTGCTTAAAACATATGCTCAAATAGTTGGCAGTTCATTCCGCTGTGATGACCTCTAAAATAATTAAATTAAATTAAAATTTGACAGGAGGGACTGTAAATAATTTCTAAGTAGTTTTTGATACAAGCGTCTGCCTCATGATGAGATGTAGTGTGAATGTATTTGTGTGTGCCAGGCTGCAGGGATGAAGCTCACGGTGCGCTGCTGAAAGAGCTCATGCAGACGCATCACTTCCGGGTCACAGTGGTTCAGGAAGCAGACGTGGTGGAGATCTGTGGTGCTCTAAAGGTTTGCACATTCACACTTATACACTTCACACCTCCAAACAATTAATACAATAAAGCCAATTATATTAACCGTGCACATGCCAATCAAGTCACAATGTGTGTGTGTGTGCGTGTGTGTGTGTGCGTCGTAACAAAAGCTATTTTTAGGCTGACATTTCTGAAGTTGTTTTATCAACAGCACTACCAGTACGGGTCTGTCTTGATATGGCAGTTATCAGATTTACCGTGTTATCGTTGTCTTTTGCTGTAAATCTGAGTTTACAATATAAACAGAAAACAGTCAAACCAGAAGTTGTGTATGAAGGTCAAATATATTGATTTATATAGTTTGTATTAATAATAAAACAAATATATATTTAATAACATCATTATCTTTTAATGTTTATTAAATAATCCTCTCCTGCGATGTGACTATTGCAAATACACACACTACGATGTCGATGCTCAAATGATATATTGTTAGGCTCAATTCAATCTCTACCTTTTTTTTAAATTTAATTTAATTTTAGGACATCTTTACTTTTACTTCAGGTTATTTCAAAGCCAAATATTGTACACATTCAGACATAGGTATAGAAAAAGTAGGGTTTTAAAGAAACATTTTGCTCACCAAGCCTGCACTAATATGATCAAAAATGCAGTACAAACTGTAAGAATGGGAAATATTATTATTATTTAAAATATATTTTTTTAATGACATTTATTCCTGTGATTTAAGGATGATTTTTCAACATCATTACTCCAGTATGATCATTCAGAACTTGCTGCTCAATAAACATTTCTTCTTATTATGTTTGGTTATTATTATTATTATCAATGTGAAAAACTGATGGGCCGCTTAGTATAAGCTGAAGTTTGGTTAGTTAACTAAATATTTGGTTAGTTATATTTATATTATTTATATATATATATATATATATATATATATATATATATATATATATATATATATATATATATATATATAGTCATTTCCATCAACAATGAGTGTAACAGATATATTTCTGTAAAATTTAAACATATTATATATATATATATATATATATATATATATATATATATATATATATATATATATATATATATATACACACTTATAGTCAGAATTATTAGCCCCCCTGAATTATTAGCACCCCTATATTTCAACACGTTTCTAAACATAATAATTTTAATAAGTAATTTCTAATAACTGATGTATTTTATCTTTGGCATGATGGCAGTAAATGTTTGACTAGATATTTTTCAAGACACTTCTGTACAGCTTAAAGTGACATTTAAAGGCTTAACTAGGTTAATTACGTTAATTAGACAGGTTAGGGTAATTAGGCGAGTTATTGTATAATGATAGTTTGTTCTGTAGACTATCGGAAAAAATAGCCTAAAGGGCCTAATAATTTTGTCCTTAAAATGGTGTTTAAAATTAAAAACTGCTTTTATTCTAGCCGAAATAAAACAAATAAGACTTTGTCTAAAAGAACAAATATTATCAGACATACTGTGAAAATTTCCTTGCTCTGTTAAACATTGTTTGGGAAATATTAAAAAATAAGAAAACATTCGAAGAGGGGCTAATAATTCTGACTTCAACTGTATACATAAAAAGTGTTGGGGCTACCACATTACAAGTAACACGAGTTACATAATAATATTACTTTACTAAGTAACGAGTAAAATAATGCATTACTTTTAAAAAACAATTGATAATATTTGAGTAACTTTTTTAAAGAAAAAGGAAAAGGGGATTGTCTCAATGGACAGGGATTTTACTTAAGACAAAGACAGGAAGTTCTCAGATAACATTATCCTAAAATGTTATTTTTATGTATATATATATATATATATATATATATATATATATATATATATATATATATATATATATATATATATATATATATATATATATTGTGAACATACAAAGTTTATGGCGTGAATTTTGAATTCACGCAGACGTCAAAGACTTCCAATCCACTGTTCAACTAAACAACCTTAATTCACTATAAAAAAAAATGCTGGCTTCCACACAGGCAATTTGTGTTTGGACAACATGAAGGAATTAAGTAAAATGATTAATTTTTACAAATTTAAGTAGATTGAACATAAAACAATTAAGATGTCCCCCCCCAAAAAAACTCAAGAATTGTGTTGTTTCACCTCTATTTAAATTAGATTGAAATACAGCAAAATCAGTTTTTAAGTGTATTCTATAGCATTAGCACCATAAAAACACAGCCAGTTTCAAACGTCACATTTCTAAAGTGCTTTCTGTGATCCAGCTGTAAACATGTCAGACATTCAGATGCTGTTTGTCCTTCTCCAGAATATAGTAGCAGTAGGAGCCGGTTTCTGTGACGGCTTGGGTTTTGGAGACAACACGAAGGCAGCGGTGATCAGACTTGGCCTCATGGAGATGATCAGCTTTGCTCGTCTTTTCTGCACCGCCGGCTCTGTTTCTCCTGCTACTTTCCTGGAGAGCTGCGGCGTCGCGGATCTCATCACCACATGTTATGGAGGACGAAACCGCAGAGTCGCTGAAGCCTTCGCCAAAACCGGCAAGGTGAGACACCAGGAACTTTAAGGGACAGTTTACCCAAAAATGAAAAGTCGTTTACGTTTACATTTCACTTGTTCCTAATTAGTTTGAGTTTCTTTCTTCTGTTGAAGAACAAAACAACATATTTTGACCTCCTTAGTATTTGGATTTTCATTGGTAACATCCTTCAAAATATCTTCTTTTGCGTTCAACAAAACACTCCAAATGCAGAAGCAAATGCTTAAACTTTGATTGAAGATTACTAAAACAAACATTTTTTTCAGTGGATTAATTTGGTGAGTACATGGACTTATTTTGGCCGCCATTTTAAAAGCGCAAACGAGGCTGCAGTGGCTAAAAAACCCACAAGTAAAGCCTGGAGTCACACAGGAAGTGCGTGTACCTGGCTGTATATCTTATCAGCGAAGAAAAAGTGACACAAATTTATAATTTCACCGCTTTCCGAGTGATCCGAAGGTCCGTTCTGAATGGATTGTGAAAACAAAAAGGGATATACCTCATTGTCAGCTAAGGGAAATAGCACTAGGTAGCTAACGTTTTCTTTCCTAAACACACATTTTAGATGCCTTTTATCAAGTTAATGAACTGATTCTTTCACGATATAAGACCTGTCACAATACCGATTTTTGGCACTGAAATTAAAAAAACATCCATTTCCTGCTAACATTTGAGTGCTGTTGAGCCATTCGTAAACATCGCGGATTTGCCATTGTATTCACCAGTGCTCAACAGAGATGACTGTGAATAGTCATGAAGGTCATCAGTTCACTGCACTTCATCGCTGTTTACAGAAAAAAAAAAAAAAAAATATATATATATATATATGTATATATATATATGTATATGTGTATATATATAATTTTTTTTCTGTAAAGAAAGGCTCAATATTCAGCATCATGCAGTCTTCAGTAGCACTTGATCTTTCAGAAATCATTAATATATGATAATTTACTTCACTGATAAATAGAAAGTTCAAAAGAATATCTATTAAAAAAACAGATATTTTGTAAAATGTATACGTTTTACTGTCACGCTTGATCAAATTACTGCATTCTTCCTGAACAAAACTATTAACTAAAATTAAATAAGCAATAATCACATCAAACTGTTATTTATTGTACATAAAAATCTTAACTGTAAAGTCAAAACATTTGTAGCATTGGATGCAACAAGACACAAAGTCAATTACAAGAACAATAGTGCAAATAAAAGGAGTTCAATAGCATACAGTCTTCTGATTGTCTGTTTCAGTCTCTCGAAGATCTTGAAAAGGAAATGTTGAATGGTCAGAAGCTCCAGGGTCCTGCTACAGCGGCTGAAGTGCACACTATACTCAAAAACAAAGGGGTTCTGGCCAGGTGAGAAACCCCTGTTTCATTGTTGTGCATTTACATATGAAAAAAATGTATTTATTTGACATGTTTTAAATGTAATTATTTGTTATTTGGGTGTATTAGAATAGGTTTATATAAATATACAGGCAAGCCTGAAATTATTCATACTACTGGCAAATTCTGATTTTTAAACTTTTGTTCAAATGTGAATAAAAGCTAAGAGATATTTTTTTCCACAAAGTTGTATGTCATCTTACTATCTTTTAGGAGACGCTTGTGTCATTTCCAGTTAAAAAATAAAACTTGCTGGTTGAATAAAAGTAACGTTAAGCCAGAATTTGTCAGAGGTATGAATCATTTCGGGCTTGACTGCGTATATATATTGTTCTGGTTCCTAAAAGCTCCTCCCTCTGAAAAGCTCAAAGCACTCTGATTGGCCAGATGATGCAGTGCATTGAGATTGGCCAAACACCTCATGTATGTCATTATCACTAGTTTCAACTGTTTGTCAATTTAAAAATGTTACACAACGTTTAAAATAGGAGTACAAAAATACGTTCAAATAATCATCACAAAATTATTATATTTTTATTATTTAATTTTTTAGTTTTTTACAATTTTACTTTCTTTACCAGCATCAGTCATTTTACCAAAAAAACATTTTTGATGATTTTATTTCTAATACCATTATATTTTATGTTTTTAATAAAAAAAACAAAAATTAAGTTAATAAGCAGAAAAAAAAGAAATTAATACCAAAAAATTAAAAGTGAATTTTGATGGGTTTTTTGTGCAGTGTATAAAAAAAATTAAATAAATTACCACTCACTAGTAACATACACTCACCGGCCACTTTATAAGCTACACCTATCCAACTGCTCTTTAACGCGAATTTCTAATCAGCCAATCACATGGGAGCAACTCAATACATTTGGGCATGTAGACATGATCATGACGATCTGTTGCAGTTCAAACTGAGCATCAGAATAGGGTAGAACCTTGAGGCGGATGGGCTACAGCAGCAGAAGACCACGCCAGGTGGCACTCCTGTCAGCTAAGCACAGTTAACTGAGGCTACAATTCACACAGGCTCACCAAAATTGGACAATAGAAGATTGGGAAAATGTTGTCTGGTTTGATGAGTCTCAATTTCTGCTGCAACATTCAGAAGGTCGGGTCAGAATTTGGCATCAACTACATGAAAGCATGGATCCATTCTGCCTTTTATCAACGGTTCAGGCTGGTGGTGGTGGTGTAATGGTGTGGAGGATATTTTCTTGGCACACTTTGGGCTCATTAGTACCAATTGAGCTTCATGTCAACGCTACAGCCTATCTGAGTATTGTTGCTGACCATGTCCATCCCTTTATGATCGCAGTGTACCCATCTGCTGATGGCTACCTCCAGCAGGATAACGCACCATGTCATAAAGTGCAAATCATCTCAGACTGGTTTCTTGAACATGACAATGAGTTAAAGGCAGTTCTTCTGAAGGCTAAAGCGGGTCGAACTCGGTACTAGTAAGGTGTACCTAATAAAGTGGCCGGTGAGTGTAAGTGCAATTACCTAACTTTAATTAATTTAACCTGCAGTCCAAAAGAGCAGAATCAGGGCAGAATTAAGTGGTTTTTAATCTAAAAAATCTGCTGTTTAGGTAAAGTAAAATTTTGTTTTCACTTTGAACTAAGATTAATATACTTATCCTATTGGCAGACTATTTAGCTTATTTTAAGGAAAAACTCTTTCTTGTCCAGAAATTCCCTCTTGATTTACAAATTTGTTGATTTTTAGAAACAAGACAAAAACTCTAAATAGCAAAAATAGCATATTTTTTTGCAGTGAACACACTGAAAAAAATTATTCATTGGATTTACAAATTTTTTTAAGGTTTAGTGGTTGCAAACAATTTATAAATGTGGAATTGAAATACATTCTTTCATTAATTTTCCTTCAGCGTAGTCTCTGATTTATCAGAGGTCTCCACAGTGGAATAAACCGCCAACAATTCCCGAAACTGCGACCTTCTTGTTGTGAGGCGATAGTGCTAACCACTGAGCCACCGTGCCGCCTAAATAAACAAATAATTTTAGTAATGTTTAGCTAATTTATTTTATTATTATTATTATTTTTGCTTAAATTCAGCCTATATAAATTATTTGCAACCACTTACCTTTTAATCTAAAAATTGAGTAAATCCTTTTATTTTTTTGCAGTGAACACCTCTGAACCTTTGCTCTTTCCACAGGTTTCCTCTTTTTAATGCCGTATTTGAGATCTGTTATGAAGGTCGTCCTGTTACTGAGTTCATCCACTGCTTGCAGAACCATCCAGAACATCAGTGACAGAAGGACAGAGCTGTTCTGTACTTAAATACTTCTCAAATAACTCAATTAATCAGCAAGACGGTGAGTGTGTGTGTTTCAATGAGTGACCAAAGTCGCTTTCATTGAGTCCACTGACAGGTTTTGTTGTTTTTAATGAGTCCGTCCTGCACCCGTGTGCTCTCAGACACTTTATTTCTGCAGAAAACCCCTCAAATGTCAGTCTGAGAGCTCATCTTTAAGTGACTCTGAAGCTGTTAGCAGTGAAACAGCACTGAATGTTCTCGATATAATGTGAAATAAATCATTGTATCTGTGAGCTCTCGCTGTCTGCTTCTTTCAATCAGTCGTTTTGCAAATAAACTGCTTTTTGAAGAGCTAGACATGACGGATTAAATGATTTACAGTGGATCCACAAATAATTGGATGGAATTTAAGACGTTTAAATATTGAAAGTGATTTGTTTATTTATTATGACAGAGTTTTGCTAATAACCCAGCAGGCACACAAAACCATAAAACATTGAAATTAGGTTAGATTTTAAACATTTTAAACCAATGTCATGTTGACATCAAATACTAACATTTATTCGTCAGGTATGACAACCAAAATCCAACATCTGATAGACGTCATAGTGGTAACGTTCACTCAACGTCAAGCTGTAACCTCATTAGACATTGATATTTGGGTATTTTTAGGTTTAGGTTTGAAAGTAACCAAAATGCAACGTTTGTTCAATGTTAGACAAGCCTGATGTTGGGTTTTGACGTCAACCCGATTTTCATTTCCAAACAAAATGCAACGTTCCCCAACGTTTCGGTACGTTAATCTGACGTCATGTTGATGTTCTGTGCCTGCTGGGAATACACAATCAGAAATAATCTACTTTTTAATATTAAAGGGATAATTCACTTAAAAATTTAAATTCTGTCACCATTTACTAACTTTACTCGTCACAAAGCTTTTTTTTCTGTTGAACACAAAAGAAGATATTTTGAAATATGTTGAAACCTGTACTGTAAAAAAAAAAAAAAGCTTCCATTTTTTGTTTTGTTTCTGGTCCATATATCTAAAAACTCTTAAATCTAGAATTATTTTAGATACTGTCTTCTTTTAAAAAATAATTTGTTGCTTGTTTTAAAGTACACATGAACCGGAAGCTGCGATCGTTATTCCTTTTCGTAATGTGAAGCAGTTCCAGAGAAACAGAATTTTAAATAAGCAAACAGTGGGCGTGGCTTGTTTTGTCTACGGGCTGATTGGATGTAGTGAAGTAGGCATTTCATTCAGAACAGACTTCTCCTGCTCACCATTTCTTTTTTGTTGTCAAAACTGACAGTTGGAGCGGCGTTAGCCATGCCCATTACCTCAAAATCATGTAATCTGATAAATTAACTGAAAACAAACAGGAAGTTCATTTTCAGATATCTTTTAAAGATCAGAAGGGCAAGCCATTTTCTTAATGACATGCACAGATGAATTGTTCACCACAAAACTAGCAATGTGAGCAACAGAATCATATGGTTAGTTTTGATTTCTTAGGGACTTTAATAAAAAAACTCACTTAATTTTGACATTAATTCTTAAAATAAGACTAGATGTTTTGCTTGTCTAGAAAATGCTTCTTAATTTAGAAATTGTTTGATATTTGGACTAGAAATTAGAATAAAAAATCTAAATAAGAAAAGCTTTTTTTTTGCAGTGTAACCATTGACTTCTATGCTATTTGTTTTTCATAATATGGACGTTAGTGTTTACAAGGTTTCCACGATTACACAACTTTTTTTTTTTTAAAAAGAAGCCGCTTGAATGCGAGTAAATAGTCAGTAAATGTATTTATTTGAGTAAACTATCCCTTTAATTTAATTTATAATCTATTATAAAAATCTGTTATCATAGATTATGAATGAGCTTTACACTAATAATACACAACCAGAAATAATCTACTTTTTAATATTAAAGGGACAGTTCACTCAAAAATGAAAAATCTGTCATCTTTTACTAACTTTTTACTCGTCACAAAGCTTTTTTCTGTTCAACACAAAAACGATATTTTGAAAAAGACCTGTATACTTTTATTAGATTTTTTTTTGTCCTGTTTCTGGTCCAAATATCTAAAAACTGTTAAATCAAGAATTATTTTCTAGATACTGTCCTGTTTTTAAAAATAACATGTCAAATATGTTGCTTGTTTTAAGGAAAAACTCACTTAATTTTGACATATTATTTCTTGATTTAAGAACTGTTTGATATTTGGTTTGACTAGAAACGAGACTAAAAAATTTAAGTAAGAAAAGCTTTTTAAGATTAAAGAGAAAATGTAATTCTCTCATCATTACTCACTTTCTACTTGTCACAAAGCTTTTTTTTCTGTTGAACACAAAATAAGATGTAACCTGTAACCATTGACCTCTATGGTATTAGTTTTTTCCTAGTATGGAAGTAGGTGGTTACAGGTTCCCACGTTAACACAAGTTTTTAAAAAAAATATTTGTTTGTGTTGCACAGAAAAAAGAAACCTTGAATGCTTGTAAATGTATTTATTTGGGTAAAATATCTCTTTATTATTTAATCAATAATCTGTCATCATAGATTTCGCTCATAATACACAATCAGTAATAATCTACTATTTAATATTAAAGGGACAGTTCACCCAAAAATGAAAATTCTGTCATCATTTACTCCCATCATTTACTAACCTTTACTAATGTACTCCCATTTACAAACCTTTTTTTCTATTAAACACAAAATAAGATAGGATATACTTTTTTTTTGCCCTGTTTATAATCCAAATATCTAAAAACTCTTAAATCTAGAATTATTTTCTAGATCCTGTCGTGTTTTTTAAAAATAATATGCCAAATATGTTGATTGTTTAGCAAAAGCTCGGTTAATTTTGACATTACTTTTTAAAACAAGGTTAAATGTTTTTCTTGTCTAGAAAATGCTTCTTAATTTAGGAATTGTTCGATATTTGGACTAGAAATGAGGCTAAATGAGTCTAAATAAGAAAAACATTTTAATATTAAAGGGATAGTTCACCCAAAAATATAAATTCTTTCATCATTTCCTCCCTACTTGTCACAAACCGAACACAAAGACGACTCCTAATATGGAAGTTGGTTGATACAGCTCCCTATGGTTACACAAGTTTTTAAAAATATCTTCGTTTGTGTTTGTAGAATTATTTAATTAAGAATGATGATCATCTATTGTTTTTTAATTATGAAACCTGCCAATGTATTTGTTTATTTTTGATTGTAATGGCTGTTTGTGCGATATTTCCTTTATATAAATAATGTATAATATTTAGTTACAGTGGCATTCATACTTTATGAAAAACCTTTGAAATGCCCACTAGAGGGAGTAACTTTTTAGTGCTTGGAAGTACCACTTGAAACATGCATCTATTTTAATTTATTGTGAATATTCAGATGTTCAAACCTGAGATGCGTTTCTCTAGTAAATGATATTTGGGCACGTTTCCATCAACTCAAAAACATCCTCACTGAAGTCATTATACTTCAAACTGGAAAAGATATACAAAAAAAAAATGTAAGCACTTAAAGCACATGAAACTGAAATGAGGAAATATAACTAAAAGAAAAAGTAGAAATATAAATTACCTACAAAATATATGTAGAATATATGCCATATCTTACAAACAACATGTAAAAACAAAGATGTATTTTAAATGTTTGGTTTAAACTTTAAGATAAATTATATAGTCAAGCCTAAAACTATTGATTCCCCTGGTAAATTCTGACTTAAAGTTTTTGTTCAAATGATTTTTTTTTCACAATTTATTTCACAATGATGTCTCTTGTACGTTGTTTTTTGTTTTGGGAGAAGTCAGTCATTTCTGATTTAAAAAAAAAGAATCTTGCTGTTTCAATAAATAAAAGTAACTTTTATTGTGCTACTTTTTTTTTTAAGTAATTAAGTCAGAAATTGCAAGGGGTATGAATAATTTTGGCCTTCACTGTATATATAAATGTACTGTAGTGATGGGTTGATCATGAACGATTTGTTCATTTTGAACGAATCTTCAATATGACTCAGGAACTACGAGTCCTCTCAGGGAGTGATTCGTTCATCCGCACGTGCGCACATTTGTTCAGGTATCGTTAATTTCAAGTCTTCATCACATTGGCAGAAGCCAATCATATGCATTTAGAGCCGGAAAAAGAATTGAACCGTTTATCTCTCGAGTCCTCTATCGGGTCTGAGTCACTCGTTCATCACGAGCCAATCATACGCGTTTAGAGCTGGAAAAAGAATTGATTCACTCACCTCTCGAGTCCTCTATCGGGTCTGAGTCACTCGTTCATCACGAGCCAATCGGATGCATTTAGAGCCGGAAAAAGAATTGAACCGTTTATCTCTCGAGTTCTCTATTGGGTCTGAGTCACTCGTTCATCACGAGCCAATCATATGCATTTAGAGCCGGAAAAAGAATTGATCCGCTCACCTCTCGAGTCCTCTATCGGGTCTGAGTCACTCGTTCATCACGAGCCAATCATACGCGTTTAGAGCTGGAAAAAGAATTGATTCGCTCACCTCTCGAGTCCTCTATCGGGTCTGAGTCACTCGTTCATCACGAGCCAATCGGATGCATTTAGAGCCGGAAAAAGAATTGAACCGTTTATCTCTCGAGTCCTCTATTGGGTCTGAGTCACTCGTTCATCATGAACCAATCATATGCATTTAGAGCCGGAAAAAGAATTGATTCGCTCACCTCTCGAGTCCTCTATCGGGTCTGAGTCACTCGTTCATCACGGGCCAATCAAACGTGTTTAGAGCCGGAAAAAGAATTGAACCGTTTATCTCTCGAGTCCTCTATCGGGTCTGAGTCACTCGTTCATCACGGGCCAATCAAACGTGTTTAGAGCCGGAAAAAGAATTGAACCGTTTATCTCTCGAGTCCTCTATCGAGTCTAAGTCATTCGTTCCTCACGGGCCAATCATATGCATTTAGAGCCGGAAAAAGAATTGATCCATTCATCTCTCGAGTCCTCTATCGGGTCTGAGTTACTCGTTCCTTACGGGCCAATCATACGCGTTTAGAGCCGGAAACAGAATTGATCCGTTCATCTCTCAAGTCCTCGGGTTTGAGTCATTCTCTCACGTGATGAACAAACGATCATGGCTCCTATCAGCTTAGACTGTGCATTGATTAAGTTTATGTGACTGTCAGTGTAACGTGAATGAACCCCTGACATTTAAAGACATGAAGAGGTGAGCTGAGCAAAGAGACAACAATACCTTCATAGAGAAAAGAGCAGGTAAACATTGAATTATTATTTTCTCCTTCTTATATTCTATTTATGATTTATTTGTCGTGCAATCAACCTTTTGGGCTAGTTGTAGATGTGTTTAGAAGCAATTTGTAACATTTTAATAATATTTTGGCAAATTGAACCAAATGAACGAAATGACTCAAAAAGATTTGTTCATCTTGATAAACGAGACTCAAAGATCCGAGTCAATAAAATGATCCGAACTTCCCATCACTAATGTACTGCAAAACATTAATTTAAAGGTCCCATGAAATTAAAATAAAGTTTTCTAGATATTAGCAGAGATGTATAGTAACGAAGTAGAACTACTTCACTACCATACTTAAGCACTAAAAGGCTGTATCTGTACTCTACTGGAGTATTGTTTTTATCTCCTATTTCCACGTTTACTTCGGTACATATTTTCGATGAGTTTAATACTTTAACTCCGATAGATTTTTTTTATATGCTGCATCGTTACTCGTTATTAGGGGTGTCAAAATGATTGATATCGGTTCAGTAATAGATCATAACCGGTTATTGCATACTGATGTCATTTATCTTATATGCACGATGTCGCAATACTATGGAGGAGGAGGCGAGGGCAAGTAAATAATGCTCTTACTACAGTGAAGCTCTGCACATGAGCCGATATTTCACTACTACGGAGAAATGCTGTAAAACTCCATCTTTACCCCTCTCTCTCTCTTTTTGGACATTTGACCCGCTGGCCTGTTCCTGAGGTAACTTTTCCTCTCCTCTCGGCCGTTAAAGTGATAAATGTGGATCCAGACACGAGCATGCCTAAGGTCCTGAGGTAAACAGCGCTTTCATTTCTAAAGCCGATCGCAATCCTTTCTGTTGAGCAGGTGAAGATCATAACCTATCATAGGGGTGTAAGACCTAGCCTGACAGCGCTCAAAAAGCAAGCGGGATAATATATACATCCGTTTATTTGCTATAAATGCTCATGCTGTCTTCTGTGCATGTATTGCAGTTTTGTTTAAAACATTCAGAAAGAGTGTTTTCTTTGAGCAGGTCAAATTAAGGGTACTGTTCATATATCTTACTACAGTATTAAAGAAATAAATTGTATTACAAATAATATATAAATATGAATACATCTTTAGAATTATGAATGGAAAGCATCGTCATTCGTCAATGCACCGAGATATCGAATTGAACCGAATCGATGGCATGATAATCGTAACCGAACCATAAGACCAGTGTAGATTTACACCCCTACTCGTTACAATTATAGACCTTTTTCTTGGCTACTGCATGGAGGGTGCCATAGTGACTAGCGTCTTCCGGTAGAATGTTTAGAACTTACGTTTACAGCGTTTAGTAAAATTTGTAAAATTGGGTAATTTGTGATCCGAAAATGGCTTTCAAGAGCATTTTGATTGGATTACAGAGTTTTTTTTGTAACACACAACTTTAAAAGGTGTCTGTTAAAGCTGTTATAATCTGTCAGATCTGTGGTTCAAGCACGAGAGAAGAACGTAAGCCGTGTTTCTTTACGTTCTGCCTAAATCCCATGCCCCCAAAAAAGATATTTAAAATAAACAAAACAATATGATGTCTTTTGACTGCTTTTTTTTAAATAACTACATTACACAACACTTGTACTTTTACTTTCAGTTCTTGAGTAGTAAGTTTTGAAATGAACTACCTGCAATACTTAAGTACAAAAAATGTTGAATACTTTAGTATTTCCACTTAAGTATGGTGCCTAAAGAGCACTTTATTGATAGAGTACTTGTACTTTTACTTAAGTCTGGGTCTGCAGTACTTTATACATCTCCGGATGTTAATATCAGTATTTTTAGTTTTTAAGATATCTATAAGCTAGCGCGCTCCAAAACAGTAACAAAATTCGGATAAAAGGATCAACGGTTTAATTCACGTTACATCATACTTTAATTTCTCATCAAATCATAGTCAATCAAATGCTCTCTAGTATCTGATGTGCCCCACCCCCATCAAGATGCTTCTCATTTGCTTTTCATTTGTTGCACTTGAGCTCAACCACTCTCACCGTCAGAGCTGTGATAAAACAAAACATTGTTGGCTGTTTTTTTTTTAAAGGGGAAGAGCTACACTGTGTCCCACCCTCTCTTTTTGATGTTTTTGTTGAGATAACGTCAAACATCGAATAAAAATGCCGAATTCAAAGCACTTCATGGGGCCTTTTATAGGATTTAAACATTTTGCATTTATACAAAATGTATCTTTTAAAATACAAATTCAAAAATATATTTTTAAATTATGCAAATATTGTTTTTTACAGTAATTGGTAATATGTTTGCCTTTTTAAATGTATTTAGTAAGTGCATGCTCATTTGCAAACTTACTTGAGTTCTGTCATTTGAGGATGGTCCAGCATTAATTTCACCAGTCGAGGCACAGATGAGTCTGTCATTTTGTTGTTCTTCAGGATCAGCGTTGATAAATAACTGCTAGCAGCAACAGAATCACATAACTCCTCAACACATGCGTCTGTCAGCGACAACATCTCCAGACTGCAGAAACAAGACGAGACGTAGAAAACACTCTTTCATCTGTGTCATTTTTACTAACACTTGCACCAGACACTTTCTTATGATCAGTTAAAAATCAAAAACAAAAATTGTGCATTTATAAAGTGAGCTTCACACAAGTGAGTGGGCTTGACAAACCACCTGTAGAAAGTGCACTCTGAGCACTAACAGTTCCTTTGTATAATTAGCACTTGTGTGTTTTGCCTCTTTTTGTTGAATCGCTGCATACCTCCTCAGTTGTACAGTGCATCCGGAAAGTATTCATAGCGCTTCACTTTTCACTTTTTATGTTTCAGCCTTATTCAAAAATGGAATAAATTCATTTATTTTCTCAAAAATCTACACACAATACCCCTTAATGACAATGTGAAAAAATAGTTTTTTTGTTGCAAATTTATTAAAAATAAAGCTGAAAAATCACATGTACAGAAGTATTGACAGCCTTTGCCGCAAAGCTCTAAATTGAGCTCAGCTACATTCTGTTTCATTCTTAAGATGTTTCAGAAGCTTAACTGGAGTTCACCTGTGGTCAATTCAGTTGATTGGACATGATTTGAAAAGGCATACACCTGTCTATATAAGGTCCCATGGTTGACAGTGCATGTCAAAGCACAAACCAAGCATGAAGACAAAGGAATTGTCTGTAGACCTCAGAGACAGGATTGTCATGAGGCACAAGGCTGGGGAAGGTTACAGAAAAATTTCTGCTGCTCTGAAAGTTCAGATGATCACAGTGGCCTCCATCATCCATAAGTGGAAGATGTTTGAAACCACCAGGACTCTTCCTAGTGCTGGCCGGCCATCTCAGCTGAGTGATTAAGGAAGAAGGGCTTTAGTCAGGGAGGTGATTAATAACCCGATGGTCACTCTGTCTGAGCTCCAGCGTTCTTCTGTGAAGAGAAGAGATCCTCACAGAAGGACAACCATGTGTGCAGCAATCCACCAATCAGGCCTGTATAGTAGAGTGGCCAGACGGAAGCCACTCCCCGCCTGGAATTTTCCTAAAGGCATCTGAAAGACTCTCTGACCATAAAAAAATAAATTCTCTGGTCTGATGAGACTAAAATTAAAAGCATTGGAGAGAATGCCAGACGTTACGTTTGAAGAAAACCAGGCACTGCTCATCACCAGGCTAACACCATCCCTACAGTGAAGCATGGTGGTGGCAGCATCATGTTGTGGGGATGTTTTTCAGCAGCAGGAACTGGAAGGATAGAGTCAAGAAGACTAGTCAGGATAGAGGGAAAGATGAATGCAGTAACGTACAGAGACATCCTGAATGAAAACCTGCTTCAGAGTGGTCTTGACCTCAGACTGGGGCAACGGTTCATCTTCCAGCAGGACAATGACCAAAGCACACCGCCAAAATATCAATGGAGTGGCTTCACAACAACTCTGTGAATGTCCTTGAGTGGCCCAGCCAGAGCCCAGACCTAAATCCTATTGAACATCTCTGGAGAGATCTGAAAATGGCTGTACATCGTTGCTTCCCATCCAACCTGATAGAGCTTGAGAGGTACTGCAAAGAGGAATGGGCAAAAATTCCCAAAGACAGGAGTGCCAAGTTAGTGGCATCATATTCAAAAAGACTTGAGGCTGTAATTGCTGCCAAAGGTGCATCAACAAAGTATTGAGCAAAGGCTGTGAATACTGATGTACATGTGATTATTCAGGTTTTTATTTTGAATAAATTTGCAACAATTTCAAAAAATATTTTTTTCACATGGTCATTACGGGATATTGTGTGTAGAATGTTGAGGAAATAAATGAATTTAATCCATTTTGGAATAAGACTGTAACATAAAAATATGTGGAGAAAGTGAAGCATTATGAATACTTTCTGGATGCACTGTAAATCCCTTTGGACAAAAACATCTGCTAAATGTAATGTAAATGCGAGACAGCCACATCATTTCCATAACCATATTTACATCCATCTATTTTTTGGAATATTGCATAAAAACTGGTTAATGGAAATGCCATCCAACTGAGTAGGATAAACTTTTTATCAGATAGTAGTACTGTACATAAACTACAACAGAATCATTTATTCATTTTCCTTCGGCTTAGTCTCTATTTCAGAGGTCGCGACAGCAGAATGAACTGCGATAAAAAGCAATGCTGCACATCTTAATTTGATTTGTGTTTACTAAGATTACAATTTTATTCAGATTAAGGTCATCAAAAATGGAAAAAGAAAACAATGCTTTATTTGCAAATGTTTTATGCGATATTCCAGTTCTGCGCATAAATCTAAATCGGATCTTTGAATGGAAGATATCACTCACTCCAGGTGATGCAGCTTGCAGGATTTGTGTCTCAGCGCCTGCCACATGTGTTTGGCTCCACCATCACCAACATCATTGACTCCTACAGAGAGACTGATGAGTCTCGACACACCAGACATTAACACCATCCCTAATGCTCCAAACACCTCCTCAGTCAACTCACATCTCTCCATTCTGCAGGAACAAAACAAACTTGTACTAGTCCGATTTCATACCAAGCTCCTAAAGTCAATGTGACAGCAAAATTGACGTCATTCATAAACGTACTTTTATTATCCACTGCATCTTTTTCTAAAGAAAAGTCTAAAGGATTATTTTCATAACTTCATAACTTCATATATTTTAAAATCCAATAATGTTCTGTATTTCTGAATCATAGCGCTACTTCTGTGAGTGAGATTGAAATAATGCTTTTGAAGTCTTTCTAAAGTAAAAAGAGCAGTAAAATGGAATCAAAACTGCTGTATAGTTAAACACACTCCCAGGTCACTTTATCACACTGGTCCAACTGTTCGTTAATGCAAATTTCAGATCGCTCAATCACATGGCAGCAACCCAATGCATTTTGGCATGTAGACATGGTCAAGACGATCTGCTGCAGTTCAAACCGAGCAACAGAATGGGGAAGAAAGGGGATTTAAATGACTTTGAACGTGGCATGGTTGTTGGTGCCAGACGGGCTGGTCTGAGTATTTCAGAAACTGCTGATCTACTGGGGTTTTCACGTACAACCAACTCTAGGGTTTACAGAGAATGGTCTGAAAAAGAGAAAATATCCAGTGAGCGACAGTTCTGTGGGCGCAAATGTCTTGTTGATGCCAGGGGTAAGAGGAGAATAGCCAGACTGGTTCCAGCTGATAGAAAGGCAACAGTAACTCAAATAAGCACTCATTACAGCCAGCTGAAGACCACACCAACTGTCACTCCTTTCAGCTAAGATCAGGAAACTGAGGCTACAATTGGCACAGGCTCACCAAAAGTGGACAATAGAAGATTGGAAATACATTGCCTGGTCTGAGTCTTGATTTCTGCTGCAACAATCGCATGGTAGGGTCAGAATTTGGCATCAACAACATGAAAGCATGGATCCATCCTGCCTTGTATCAACAGGTCAGGCAGGTGGTGGGGGTGTAAAGGTGTGGGGGATATTTTCTTGGCACACTTTGGGCTCATAAGTACTCATAAGAGCATTGTGTCAACACCTCAGCCTACCTGAGTATTGTTGCTGACCATGTCCATCCCTTTATGACCACAGTGTACACATCTTCTGATGGCTACTTCCAGCAGGATAACGCACCATGTCATAAAGCGTGAATCATCTCAGACTGATTTCTTGAACATGACAATGAGTTCCCTGTACTCAAATGGCCTCCACAGTCACCAGATCTTAACCCAATAGAGCACTATTGGTAAGTGGTGGAATAGGAGAGTCGCATCATAGATCAACTGCGTGATGCTATCATGTCTCTATGGACCAAAAGCTCTGAGGAATATTTCCAGTACCTTGTAGATTTTATGCCACAAAGAATTAAGGCAGTTCTAAAGGCAAAAGTGGGTTCAACACAGTGCTAGCAAGGTGTACCTAATAGTGGCCGGCAATTTAAAAGAACAGTTTTTTTACCTTTAATCCTGTATATTAAAATATCACTTTCAGATTTTTTTAGCATTATTACTTGTCTTAGGTGTTATGTGATCCTTCAAACAGTATTCTAATTTGCTCTAAATTTCTTATTATAATCTATGTTGAAAGTTGTGCTACTTGATTAAGAGTGAAAACTTTGATACAGGGCCTTTTTACTTTAAATAAAAATCTTCTGTAACATTATAAATATATTTTCTATAATCGTTCATTAATTTTCTTTTCAACTTAGTCCCTTTATTAATCTGGGGTCGTCACAGCAGAATGAACTGAAAACTTATCAGCATATGTTTTACGCAGCAGATGCCCTTCCAGCCACAACCCATCACTGGGAAGCATCCATACACACTCATACACTACAGACAATTTAGCAATTCACCTATACCACATGTCTTTGGACTTTTGAGGGAAACCGCAGCACCCGGAGGAAACCCACGCGAACATGGGGAGAACATGCAAACTCCACACAGAAATGCCATATGACCCAGACAAGGCTCGAACCAGTGACCTTCTTGCTGTGAGGTGAACATGCTATCCACTCCGCCACCACGTCGTCCATTTTCTATAATTGTTTTTATCTATTTAATGCATATTTGCTTAATACAATTAATGATGTCTATTAAAACATCAAATATTTATAGTTATATCATTTTAGCATATATTAAAATAATATTAACAATTAATGTTATAACCTACCATTACCTCTATTCCATTTCTAATTTCAATGTGAAATTGTGTATCTCATTTGCATACATACTGAAGTATCTCAAGTGTGCAATTAGGAGTCATGAGGGCTTCACATATCTGCATCGCTCCTGATTGGCCGAGATCATTGACGGACAGGTCCAGCTCGGTCAGACAGCAGTGTTCTGATTGGATGGCAGCTGCCAGAGATGAGCAGCAGGAGTCAGTCAACCCGCAGGAAAACACTCTGTGAGTAAAACACATACAGATACAATGCTGCATCAAGGCAGTAGGTCCTTACAAATGTATTCTGGATATATTATTGATTTATAAAGTATAGGGCATTCAGTTTTAACACACAAAGAACAAATATTTTGTTAATCTGACCAAAAAAAACTTATATAAATAATATTTATTAGAACTTTAGAAGAAATATTACCAGACATTCATAGAATAATGCAAATATTAACATTTAACTCAAATCCATATCCCATATACTGAAAATATTTAAGTGATATCTCTCTCTTTTTCATACACTGGTGTGTGTGTGTGTGTTAAATTTTTTTTTTTAAGAAATTAATACTCCCACTTCCCACCATATGAAGCAATAGACTGTGTAGCTGTCGTCAGAAGCAATTCTTATATATTACACTCTATAAACATAAACTTTACATTAAAAGAGTCAATAAATAGTTAAAATGTTCAAATTAATTATTAGAATAAATAAGTAATGTACATTTGTTGTTAATGCATGTTAATTCATTTAAAGTTATTTAACTAAAACTATAAGGGGGACGGGATAACCTTTTCTTGTTACGTTTAGCTTGGGAATTATTTCATTGTTGCAATCAAGATATTCTTCCGTTGCACTACAAGTGATACAGTCACAAGGTGCTGTGCTAAAACACATTTTTAAGGTTTAAGAAGCGCAAAGAAGTTTGTTTAAGAGAAACTGCAACCCTTCAAGTTTATTCCTCTTGAGTTAGAGAGGCCAATGAGGTATGTGTCGTATGGTGTTAACGTATGTGAACATGTATGATTATGTGTCCGTATGTAATGTATAATTAGCCAATTAAGTGTATTTCTTTACATGTTGAATGTGCACTTTATTTTTTGGTTGTATGTATGTTGTTCATTACGTGCAACATCACCTTTAAAGGGTTAATTGAAGTTTATGTATTTCTTCTCATAGTTCTGACGGCAATATTGGGACATAAAAGAGTGCAAGGCTAGACATGACATGAGTACAAGACATACTACAGACCCGTGTCCGAATAAATGTCAGTTAAAATCAAGAACGACTTGAGCCTTTGTTTCATCTCGAGGGGAGTAACAGACTGATCAAAAAGAATAATGTTGAAGCACTATTCTAAATAAATAATTTCAATAAGTTATTTAAACTTATTTCAGTTTCTACTCTTTTACTGTTTTAAAATTAATTATAATTATTAATAATGTAATTATTATACATAATGATTAATAATACATATTTCTTAAGCTGCAGTTCATTATATTAGTAAAAAGTATAATGTTTAAATTGACTACAAAGACTGAGTAATGTTAAAGGGCACCTATGGTAAAAAAATCTACTTTTTAAGCTGTTTGGACAGACATGTATGTAGGCAAAGTGTATAGACCGTCATATTGGGGTGATACAAACACACCTAGTCCTTCTTTTTTAAATTTAACAACAACGGTGTCTTTTTTAAATTTAAAAACGGAGGACCAATTAGAGAGGTTTTGAAATCGACCACAACTTGACGTAGGAGTGCTCTCCCCCCGCCCACCAATATTGATTGACAGGCGAGCATTGCAATATCCTCAGTTTGGTGTTTCACGTCCGCCATTTTTAGTGTGTGAGTCGAAGCGATGTCACTAAAGAAACACCCTTGCTCTATTTTTGGATGTAAGGCTCATTGGGCTCAACACAAGAGCCTTCATCGTTTTCCTGCAAATGAGCGACAGAGATTTTACATTTAGCGGCCATTTGTGCTGAACACGCAGTGAATGCAACGTGTCGATAAAAACAGCTGATCCTCCAAGTCAGCACTCTCTCTGAAAACACTCGGCAGGCGGATCAACATTCACTACATGATCGCTCTCATCGGCGCCATTATTTGTAACTTTAGGTGGGTTTGCAAACGTGTACTTTTCATTGCATCTTCCTTAAACTTCAGCCATTAGCATTTCCCGCGGTCACAGAAGCTCCCTGTCATCTTAACTAGATGCAGCTGGAAAGTGTGAGCGCGTTGCATCACGTACACAACCCTCTATTCGAAATTACAAACTTGCATTACTTTCAACTGTCAAGTCGGCGACTGTCCGTGGCACCTAGCTACGACTCAGGACACTGTTCATATTTCTGCCGCACCACAGAGCGACATCTGAATAGTTTCATTTTAAATAACATGCGAATGTGCGCGCCTTGTGTGTGTGATACTTTCAACTGTCATGTGCGTGCCATGTCGCGGCTCTGAGCAGCGCTTTAGTCTCGGTGTACAACTCGGAACTTTAAACTAGCACACGGTTGGCTTTAAAAATATACAAAGACACAAATGATTTTGTAACTACCACTCTGACATATTCTGCTTGGTCTGTGTCCAAATCTAGGTCGTACATGTACGGCTGAATGCTGGTCCTCTCACTCATGTTGCTTCTCTCTGTTTGCCTGTCGGTTGCCATACACAACGCGGGGGAGCTCTTGGCTCCGCCCCCTTGTTAAGTTGTGCGGGAAGTGGAAACTAATTTTAATGTGAAGCAACACACCCCTAAAACAACGACCTGTGTACACAGCCCCAAAATGACACTTTTAAACACATTCAAAACTCCTAAAAAAGGGGTAAACTAGGTGTATGTATACACTATTTTAAATTGTAAACACATTTTAGAGTTTTACCATAATTTTTTACTTGATTTTGGATTCAATAAATAGCCGGAACAAAAGAGAAATCTTTCAAAATGATTAAAAAACACACTGATCTTACAAACCTTTGAATAATTTATACAACATATATAAACTCTCTATATTTAGAGGTGTTTAGAAGTGATTTTTCAAACATAACAGTAGGTTACCTCAATATTTTGAGGCGTCCTTTCCGCATGACTTGTGAGATCAGCTCCATCCCGTCATCCATCACTGCATTCCTGCTCAAATTTAGCATGTTCAGCTCTGAAAAATCACTGTTTAAAGCTGAAGACAGAGCGGACATGGACGTTGCCGTCAGTGAGCAATGATCCAGACTGCAAAATACAAACACACATAAACAACGATCAACATACTAAACAGTGTGGGTTTTCATATCTCTGTAGAGGGCTGCACAACATTGCTGACATTGCAATATTTAGTTTTTCTGTTTTTTGAGTTTGTAGCCTGTCATACTGAACAGGGCAAAGACGGTTGCGCCACAAGACGGCGACAACGACCATATAATAAGCCCTTAAAGGAGAAAAACAGTTTTCTTTTCGCATTTTAAACTACAGTTGATCAAATCATTAGAAAACAAGTAAGTCACATTCAAAGTCATCTCTCTTTTTGTATGTTTTTGTATGTAGTGTTGTATTTTTAACATATAAGCCCCTTTCACACAGCGATACCGGTAAATATCTGGAAAATTTCCGGAACGACTTTACCGGTATATTCAAAAAAGCGCTGTTCACACAGGCGAGGACGTTACGGATATTTTCCGGAAAAGAGCATTCACACATCCATTCCAAAATACCGGTAAATTCTGACATCATTCACCACAAATGAGCTTTAAACGGCTGCGCTTGTGTTTGTAAACATTTTACTAAATTACAAACTCTGTGGATGATCAATATTGTGAATAACTTTCGCAGGATCACTTTCGCATGTCGAAATGTTCATAATATGTGCGTGTGCAGGTGCTCACAGGCTGTTTCACAGCCACACGCAAAGCTTGAAGGTAAACAAACAACGGCTTATCATAAGCATCTCATCGATGATTATTTACACAGTTGGCATTAAGAAGAACATATAAACGTGATCTGACTAACTTCTACCAGCTAAATGTGTCTGGAAAAATATTCAAAGGCTTTTATTCTCACAAACCGCGCGGAAGTGAATGCGTCTGACTGTTGTGATTGGCTAAAGCAGACGTTTCACGTCAGCACGTTCTAGACGTGCACGCGCTTATTACGGGAATCTTCTTTCTGCATTCACACAGCGCAGCATTCCGGCAAATTGCCGGTAATCTTACAACTTCTCTTTCCGGAAAATAGCCAGAACGAATTTACCGGTATTTTCAAAAAGGACCTGTTCACACATACAACCTTTCCGGAAAATTGCCGGCAATTTTCCGGAAAGGTCCGTATGTGTGAAAGGGGCTATAATCTGCTAGTGTTTGCTTTGCTTTGGCTTTTACGCGGTTAATTATTGTGATCTCCCGATTGCAACAGAGAAATGCTGGGAAATCTCTGTAGACTGGCAACATTTCATGTTGTTCAGCCTTATAATCTTAAAATGTGAGCAAAGTAACCTGTTTTGTCATCACTTTAGACACGATGCTAAAGAATCATTCAAATAATAACTATACAATGACGTTCGTGAAATAGAAACGGCTTCTGCTGTTCTGTCAACAGCTGCAGATACGAATAAATGGCGGAAGAAAGTAGTTCCTCGTACAAAAGAATTTTTAAGACTCTCTGTTTGATTTTCTTTTTATATATAGATGGATAGATAGATAGATAGATAGATAGATAGATAGATAGATAGATAGATAGATAGATAGATAGATAGATAGATAGATAGATAGATAGATAGATAGATAGATAGATAGATAGATAGATAGATTAAAGCAGTTTATAGATAGAAAGAAAGAAAGAAAGAAAGAAAGAAAGAAAGAAAGAAAGAAAGAAAGAAAGAAAGAAAGAAAGAAAGAAAGAAAGAAAGAAAGAAAGAAAAAGAATATATTGTGCAGCCCTATCTCCATATTATGAACAGTTCAAGTGTACTTGATTTCCTGTAGTTTGCAGTTTTCCAATGCACCGCTGAGTTGAACCAGGCCCTGATCTTCCAGATTATTCCCACAGAGATCCAAAACACGCAGACCGGATCCTCCAGAGAGCATTTCAGCCATTGCTTCACAATCAGCTGCGGTCAATGAACATCTAGACAAGCTAAAAACAGTGAGCACAGCATTCAGTATTTTAAACATAATACATCAGTAGCTGGGCTGCACAATATATCGTTTCAGCGTCGCTATTGCAATGTGCAAAATCGCAATAGTCACATCACAGAATATGCGATTTCAGTTTATTCATTTCTTAGGAAATTTGAGAGGAATTATCGCTGTAATGAACAAACTGTAGGATTCCACGTGCATTTAAACCATTTGTTTGCATAAGAAATGTTTTATTAAAGATTAATACTATGTAACGTTTTATACAATGATGACTATGCATTGTTACTTATTTACGTTTTATCATTTGAATCATCCCAATCAATATAAAATAATAATTTCTTTACAAAATTAGTTATTCAAGTCATCTGGTGAAATTATATTCATTTCGCAGCGAAACAAAACCTTGCAATGTCATTTTTTTCCAATATTGTGCAGCCCTAATCAGTAGCACACAAACTCCTGATAGAACCAATGGGAGGATTTCTATATTAAACGGGTTCATACTGTAACTAATAATGATCTTACTTGATTGATTGCAGTTTGGAGCTTGTGAGTGCATGACTGAGGGTTTTAACGGATTCTCTTTCCAATCTGGAGTAGGAAAAGTCCAGGGCGATGGTCTGTCCATCAGCCAGTGCTGCTGACAGGTGTGTGATAGCTGCCAAACTGAGGCGACTCTGTGATAGACTGACCAGATAAAATCACACACTTGGTTGATTATAATAATATGAACAAATAAAAGTCTCACTTTACAATATGGTTCTATTAGTAAACATTAGTTAATGGAAATAAAGTCGTTTGTTTTTAATTCTGTAACACTTTGGTTTAAGTTACAATTCATGCTGTTAACTACTGCCTAATATTAAGATATGAACAGTTCTTTAGTAGTTATAAAGTACGATCTTATTATGCATTCCTAATCCTACCCAATACCTAAACCCAACTTCTACCTCACTCACTATTAATAAGCAGCTAATTAGTAGTTTATTTAATTAGTAGTGTTAGTTAATGGTTTGTTAATAAAGTGAATTGTGACAAAATAGTGTTACCTTTAGAAACTAAAACAGAAACTGTATATATACCACATACAAATGGGAGTTATAGGTACCATAGATTGTTATGGGTCAAAAATGCTACCAGCAACAAATCCATATACAGTATTTCTTCTTTCTGGCTGTTCTTTCCATGAAGGTATTCTGTAGCAAAGCCCAGACATGTCTTCTTGTTGGTTAGTGAAGCTGAATTTTTTTTTGCACAACAATTATCTGGCTTTTTGGCAAAAAAAAAAAAAAAAAAAAAAAAAAGAGAGAGAAATTAGTTGGAAGTCAGCGGGAGATATTAGTTTTTTCCCCTCAAGTGGATGTTCTGCTTATGGTGTGACGTCACGTATCAATGAAAGTATCTTAAATTGTGTTCCCAAGATAAACAAAGCTGTCAGGGGATTGGAACGACATGATGGTGAGTAATTAATACTAGAATTTAATTTTTTTGCGTGAACTAACCCTTTAAAACACAGTTCAGGTCAACATTATTTGCCCTCCTTAACCTTTTGTTTGCTTGGTTTATTGTTAAAAGCAAACTAAAATTAAATGTTTCAATTAAGTGGTGTAAATTAATTAGATTTAGTTTAAACGTACATACTCTCGCCCGATGGATAGAGGACAAAGGCAGATTCTGCTTGACTAGTGTATTCAGTGTAGGAATTTTATTTTAGGGGGGCTCAGCTCCTTATAAGGTAAAAAAAAAAAAATATATATATATATATATATATATATATATATATATATTTACATTTAGTCATTTAGCAGACGCTTTTATCCAAAGCGACTTACAAATGAGGACAAGGAAGCAATTTACACAACTAAGAGCAGCAATGAATAAGTGCTATAAGCACGTTTCAGGTCTGTTAAGTCTAAGAAGGAAGTATTAGTAGTATTAGTATTTTTTTTTTTTTTTTTTTTTTTTTTTTTTTGGGTACAGTTAGTGTGATATTCAGAGAGGCAATTGCAGATTAGGAAGTGTAGTGGATATATATATATAAAGCCTAATATCACATTAATAAGAAGTAATTTAATAGTAACACACTTAAAATGTTTGTTTAATATGGGTTGTATACTAGTATTTAACTGTATTACATAGACAGGCATAACCATTTGAGTTCTGAATAAGCCAAATAGGCTCAACATCCCTGTTTATTGTAGTAAAAAACACTTTCTATATTCAAGTGCATTATTTGTTTCCATGTATTAAATAATAAAACTGCTACTTTTCTAATTAAATGACACACAAATAATATATATATATATATATATATATATATATATATATATATATATATATATATATATATATCTCACATACTTCACGATCTGAATGATAATAATAAATAAATAAGAAGAATTTTTTAATATAAGACTACACTTGATGTTTCTATCTCTGTCAGTGACTCAGTCTCAGTGGTTCTGTCACTGTGTTTAATCCTTTCTGTGCAAGACTGTATGGTATAGTTAATGCCACACCAACTGTAAAGTGCTTAATATTGGTAGTTCATTTTGAATTAAAAGTAGCGAAATGTTCGTTAAGAGTTACTTTTTTCGCTGGAGGAAACGGCTGTGCTGAAGAGGTGAACGCCGAGAAAACTTGACTGCTCCTCCGTGACATTGGGATACAGGTGATACAAGGTTATCTTTATCAAAGAACTGTTTGCCGATCAAATGAAAAACAAAAGACGAGGACGAGCCGAATTCTGCCACCGTTTTCATATCAAATTTAAAGGGGACTTAGGTGATAATTTAGTGTACAGCTTATGAGCTAATTGCAAAAATTTTAGGGGTCCTGAGTAGAAATATAGCTACAGTCCCCCTAAAATAAACCTAGCAACACCTATGTTCAGCCTTAACCTCCACTGTTATAAATGTGTTTGATTATGTTTTTATTGCAACAAGTTATCATTTTATATGTTATACTGCATTAGTTAATATGATTTAAAGTAATGTTTTCCAATAAATTAGGAAATTACCCATGGAAACTTTAAAGTAATATAGTTTGGTATATTTACCTTCGGCGTACGGCTCTCAATGATATCAGGTATACAGAACTTGAATTTAATTGAGTTTAATTAAGTTTAAATTGAAGTTGAATTTAATACCTTTTACTACCTTTTTTAATACCTTCAAAAAATTTTATACCAGCACGAGCTGTAACTGTAGTGGCGTAAATGAAATAACTTTCCAAATGGAATAACATATTGCAGATAACATACATTTAAGTAAAGCAGAGGGATTAATCAAGGTGTCACAATAAGCCTTTGTCCATAGTTTTTAATCAATGTGATATATGTCAATAGTCGCTCTTCTAAGAATAGTTCGGTACGGTTACGGTTGTTTCTCCACTGAGCCTGGAACGGCGATGCACGATTACAAACCGTTCTCGGCCCGGAATTATTGGCACAGTTAGACAACAGTGCTGAACTGTGCCGTTAAATTCTGTGTGTCAGGGCTCTAAACTTTTTTCTTTTAAATATATATTATTTATATAAAAAATAAATAAATAGAAATTTTATATATATATATATATATATATATATATATATATATATATATATATATATATATATATATATATAAAATTTATAATCCGGTGCTCCCAACTTCAAATATTTAGGAGCACCAGAGAAAATGTAAAGCACCCCCCGAAAATGAATGAACATCACTGCAAATTATATATTAAGGGGTTTATTGCATTTGAAAACAACATCAATTAGAACTAACAAAAACCAGAACAAACTAACTTATTCTCTGATGACTTATTGATATTTGTGTGCAAAAATTCCAAAACAAATGTCTAATAATAATTATGAAATATTAATGATGAAGATGATGACAATAATACTAATAATGAATTACATTTCCCATTATCATGCTGCATTGAATGTGAGTTATCTGCTATAAAAAGTCCGACTATTACTTTTCTGAAAAATACATTTATGGTTTGCATCAAACAAAATGAAGCATTGCAGTAAGAAATGTTTATTTTGCATTATTATTTTTATTTGCATGTCAATTTAATAAATAATATGTCTGCTACAAAACAAACGAAAGATTATAAATCATTCAATTCAAGGCTGAAAGCTGCAAAGCAGTCATCAGTAACTAGAGAGAAAAATAATATACACCTCACATGACTGCGCTCAGGTCCTACTCTGAACATATAAATAAAGCCACGCAAAATTTAGAATAAAGGTCTGCACTTGACACAAACTGAAAATGTATCTAAAAAATCGGGCTCGAAAATGTAATACCTCATCAGATGATGTTTATTACTGTTTAATGGCCTAAATTTGGCTAATTTCAGTTAACCTTATTGCCCTTTAGCTATACTAGTATCTTGAAAAACATCTGGTAAACAGTTATGTACTGTCAACATGACAAAGATAAAATAAATCAGTTTTTGTAAAATATATCAGAAATTTTGGAAACATACACCCACATAGCAAATGCTTTCTGGGCCAGCTCTGGGGCACACAATAACTTTTCTCTCGGCCCAAGTACCACAAAGAATGACGGTCCTGAAGTGGCCCATAACTGGATTAAAGACACATGGGCCATAACCGGTCCGAATCACAGCCAATTTATTACCCTTAACTAGGCCCACATGGAATCTGTGCACACAGAAATCCGCTCTTTTTTAGCTTATCGTTAATTCTGTCTTTTTACTTAAGTAAATGTGTGTAAATTTTTATTTATTTAGTTGTTAAATTAATTACAGTAATATTATGGACTAATATGAAAGTGTTCATCTGATTTATCTACAATGCAGTTTGTACAGTAATATTTTCTGTCTTTTGGTAGATATGTCATATGAGAGACTTGCTTTGTTTACCAAATAGAGTGAATCTAATTGGATTTGCATTTTAAACATTAAGGAAAAGTTAAAAAGGTATTACTTTTTATTTGACATATTAAGGTTTAGTTGATACTCCCAAAATAATTCAGCAGAAATCCAGAGATTTTTACCAAAATTCTCTGCAGTAATAGCAAAAAACGTCCGCAGATTCCATCTGGCCCTACCCTTAACTGGCCCTGAACTGGGCCAAAACAGGTTTATTATTGGTACCGATTATCAGCTATAAGTTAACCATATCAACACCATCATTTAACCAGAAACCCCAAAAACTGAGCCATAACCCAACCTAATGTTACCTAAACAATGTGAACATTTCCTACACTGACACACCTGGCCCAAATGTAGTTTGCCGTCATGCATGCAGTGCCATCATTGCCATGCGTGTTCCCACATTCGGCTGACGTTATGAACGCCAGTGCCGGCAACACGCCAGCAGTACCATAATGAGGCCACATTTGGGCCAAGTCTGTTTGCTATGTGGGCAGAGGGCTAATAATTAAGACTTCAACTGTATGTGTGCAAATAGAAAGCGTCAAACTCACCTAATTCTTTTCGACAGCCGTAAAGCTGGCATAAGTCTCTGGACCTGTTCATCTGTTAGCTCTGCTCTATATAGATTCATATGCTCCATCTCTCCCACACAACTCACTGCATATGACAGCGCAGCGCAGTCGGCCTCCTGCATGGACGTGTAGCTCACATGCAGCCATTTGCACTTACTAATGCTTTCCTTAACCAGAGACGGATTACGTGCATGATGCAGAAGCTGAAAAACACGGAAATGTTTCGCCTGGTCTCTATCCGACAACACTCTAGAAACAAGTCCCATCATCCAATGGGAGAACTCAGAAATCCGGCTTTCGTCAAAACTGCCGACAGAGTCTTCCAGTGGTTTACGTTGGATTGAGTCGGAAAGTCCTGCTAGAAAAGTGTAATAAAGATCTGAGTGTTTGTCTGAGATTTCCTGCACGGATTGGTCGAGATAAAACGAGGCGGCCAATAAGAACTCTTGCATTATTGGAGAGAGGAATGTGAATGTGGCATCACCTTTAGCCAATAAGAAATCAGAAACTCCTGGGTGGTGCAGATGCAGAACAGACCTGGAATCACTAGTGGAGTAAACCGGATTTGCAAGTTTTCCCAAAGCGAACACAATCTCTCTGGTTTGTTCAGCATTCATCTTCGGCTTCTCCAGGAGTGTGTGTGTAATGATGCTGAGCAGGTGCGTGAGAGTCTCAGGTGGGTCGTTTTTAGCCTCAAACCGAGCTTTAAACACATTGCAAAGTGTCCAGCAGAAGGCCGGATGAAAGCACTGCTCATAAACTCCCAATGTTTGCTCAACTTGACATAAACGTCTCTCGGATTGCTCTCCAAAGAAATGCTGGAAGAATGTTCTCCTTTGGGTCTGGGAGAATCCGACCACCTCAAAACATCTCAAAGACTCAATCTTGACTTGTTCTCTTGATGTGATCAGCATTGAGGCTTCAGGAAGCAGAGATCCTTCAAGCAGACTGAGCAATAGTGCTAAGCCGGTTGCTTCTTGATGTGGATCACATATAAGAGTAGATGGAGTGCAAAGAAGCTTCTGCGATTCCTCAAGTCCGTCAAGCACAAGAAGCAAACACTGAGGTCTCTGCAGAGCCAAGGTAAGAGTCTCTGCTGATATGTGAGCATACATACGACCTAGCATGCTCTGCAAACTCTCAGCTTTCCCCTCAAGAGTGAGCAGCTCCAAAACAGGCACTCGTATGAGGAGAGCGTAATGTTGCAGGTGTATACCCGTCGCCCAATCCCAAATTATCTTTTCTACCGCTGTGGTCTTGCCCATTCCAGCACCGCCATAAAGAACCAGTCTCCGGCCTTCGGATCCTGGAGGAAACTCTCGAGATATGACGTCCTCTAAGGCTTCCCAATCTCCTCTTTTGACCCTGTGAATGGAGTCTTCGTTTGCACATACTGAGAGAGGAGTGTAGTGGCCTTTCTGGATCACCTCTCGCACTGACTGACCTCCCAGAAGAGAAGTGGACAGAGCTGAGGTCAGCACAGAGTCTCGCAATGCATTCTTATGCATCTGCTGCACATCTGTAGAACAGGAAATATAAATATACATTTATATCCAATGTCATCGAATAAATACTTCTGATATCTCTATTTACAGTACTGACCTATCTATCTGTCCGTTCATTCATTCATCTATCTGTCTATCAATCTACCCACCCATTTTTAATTAAGATTTGGACTAGAAACAAGAGAAAAAATCTATCTGTCTTATTGTCTATCTGTCAGTCTGTTGTACTTACCAACCTATTCATCCATTCATCCATCCGTCCGTCTATCTACATTACAGAAGAACGCTTTTCTTGCTTACTATTTTTATTAGCGCAAATATCTCTAATCTTAAATAATCTTGTTTTCTGTTTGAAATAGGGTTATTTTACTTAGCCCTTGGAAGATTATTTTGCTTGTTTTAAGAAAAAAAATCACTTAATTTTGACTTAATTAAAAAAAAAAAATTTTTGTACTTGTAAACCCAGGAAAAGATATGTAATTAAAATTTTGGACTAGAAACAAGACAAAGTAAGTAAGTAAGCATGCATGTATGTTTGTATGTACATACGTATATGGGCTCGCAAAATCACTCTGGACGCATCGCACCCAGCACACTACCTGTTTGAACTGTTGTCTAGTCGGCGCTTCAGAGCACCAAGCACAAAAACAGGCAGACACATGAAAAGTTTCTTTCCTTAGGCCATCTACCTTATGAACAGTGAAATATCCCCCAACTGTGCAATAAATATCTGCAATACTTTCTCATACGCACTTGTACAAAGCAATGCTCAATATACCATGCAATACTTTCTACATTCACATTTGTACACAGCACCTTATAACCTGTATATTTATAACAAATATGTACATACAATTCAACATCCAGAGTTCTTGATTAACTGCATCTCAGATTAATGTTTATCATCTTTTTTTCTCATATTTATTTTTCCTCTATCTATCTATCTATGTATCTATCTATCTATCTATCTATCTATCTATCTATCTAAAAACACTTTCTAACTTTCTTAGCATAAATATCTCTTATCTAAAATAGTGCTGTTTTACGTTGAAATAAGATTTTAGCTATTTGAGAGATTATTTTGCTTGTTTCAATACACTTTTTTTACTTAATTCTAAATACAAAACAACATTTTGTACTTGTATGTCTAAAAAATGCTTTTTTAATAAAAATTTGGACTAGAAATACGACAAAAAGCTATCTATCTATCTATCTATCTATCTATCTATCTATCTATCTATCTATCGTTTTTAAAGTTTGACAGACAGGCCAAACTGATAGAAAAACAATATACAGACTCATCCCTCATTATCTATCTAGCATCTAAAGATTCCCTTACACGATCCTGCCTGAATTCATTCTAAACCGCAAACAATAAGAAGCTAAAAATATCAAAACCACCTTTTTCCTCTCACCATCTGAAATCTCGCTCAGCATGGCTGAATATCCGTAAAAATATCGTGAGAAATCCTGATGTTTTGCTAACGGTGAGTGAAGTCAAAGCTGCTGTCTCCTTTACGCTGCTCGCTGCTCTTTCGTCCGAGGAAGTGAGTTTGTGTCCGTAATTTACTAATAATACATTCTAAGACCACCCAAATCAAACCAAGCTAAATATTTTCATATCAAATAGTCAAATGTGATTGCCATGTTGTAGTTTTAGTCAAACATCAGTCAGTTCAAACAGCGCTCTTGAACAGACCCAGTAAGTTATATAGAATTTCGCTATTTTCTTCAAAACGACAAACTCTTATCTATAATAAAACAGTAACCCGAAATAAAACCAGTGAAAACGTTTCGATGTTTCTTTACACTACAGTCGTTTCCAACACGGAAGCGTGGTAAAGTTCAACAGCGCCATCTTGAGACATACTACAGTTCTTCACTAGTTTTTGTGAATTCTCAATCACAGAGAAAAATTGCTTGAAATTACCTATTCAACCTCCTCATTTTTTTGTATATTTATACAATTGATTTTGTACAGTTGTCTGTTATTTCCCAAATTCCCATATGGAAAACATATATAGTAATTTAGGCATGGGATTCTGATGGTATGTAAACCGTGGATAAAAATATCAATATTTCTCGGTATGATATTGTGATTGCTGCGCTCAAATATATTCTTCTGGGTAAAAATAAATAAATAAATGTTTTCCATTTGAACTCAATATATTATTTTTAAAAAACATTGAAATATTTTGGAACAGTAAACATGTCAGGCTAAATAACTAAAATAAATCCTTGACCTGCAATCTTAATTAGTTTATACAAAACAGATATCTTTACTCTTTCATCTTTGGATATCTTTCTTTTATTTGGATATTAAAGTAAGCAAGTCACTGCACTGCATGGCACATATGATGCACATAGCAGCATAGGATGTTGGTTTAGAAATGATTTGTTTTTCAAATATTTGCTAAATCATGGGCTGACCAGTAGCTTTTGATTTGGAGGGTCATTTTCTGCTGGAGATACTGTTGCTCTAAAAAACTAAATAAATTAATTGTAAAAAAAAACAAAAAAAACATGTCATACCTTAGAAACGGTATAGCAGAACATTTTTGCGGTTTTAAAACTTTGACTTTTCCAAACCGTGGTACACTTTAAAAACGATTATCGTCCCATGCCTATAGTAATCAATTCTACATTTTTAATAAAGTGTTTTATACTGGATATGAGCAATTCCATGCAAATGTAAAAGTTGCCATGAAAACAATTACTTTTTCACCAAAATAGCGACACTCTGGGTAGTGCAGTTTAATTCACAGAATTTCTACAATGTATGCTGTAAACTTGCATTTTTTTTTGGCCACATCCATAACATCCCATAACTCTGTGGTTCGTTGTTTTGGAAAATATAACAAAAATTCAAGGGCGTACCGTATTTAAAGGGATGTGTGAAAGATGGTACTTTTTTTCAATGCAGAAAAAAAAAAAAATCAATAAATATTTGAAATGGTGATTTAGACCCTATCAAAGGTTTTTCTACCATTTTCCTCTCGATTTATATCTTACATTCTGTTGATTGAAGTTGTGAGTTAACAATTATGAGAGGGGAAAAGTCAGAATTGTTCATTTAAAATATGTTATTGAGAAGAAAATAGTTGAAATTCTACGTTTCTGTCTTATTATTCAGATTTTTCCTCTCTGTATTTTAAGCCTGCATTCAGCCTTTCTATCTTTTGCTCTATATTTGTAAAATAGCCATGGTTCAGATTTTTTGTAACTTTATGATGTAAACCCAAAATTCTGAAACAATCAAGCAAACAAAAATAAATAAATAAAAACTGAATAAAAACAAAGTCAGAATTTTGAGTTTATATATATGTCACTCGATTTATAATTTTCTCTTCAAACTTTGAGTTAACATCTCAGAATTGTGACCTTTTTCTTCTAATTTAATTTTATTATTATTGTCTATTAAATTTTTTCTGGAGAAAGTTTTATTAGTTTGGCTGGATTAACAACAAAAACGAATTTATATTTAATTAAAAAAATTACACTGATAAGGTCAATATTATTAGCACTCTTAAGAATTTTATTATATATATATATAATATATATATATATATATATATATATATATATATATATATATATATATATATATATATATATATGTGTGTGTGTGTGTGTGTGTGTGTGTGTGTGTGTGTGTGTGTGTGTGTGTGTGTGTGTGTGTGTGTATGTATGTATTTATTTATTTTTTGTTTGTTTGTTTATTTCTCTCTATTTATTTATTTAATTTATATATAATATTTATTTAGTTAGTTAGTTATTTTATATATCATTTCTATTTAATTATTTATTTATTTATTTTATATAAATAATATATATTTATATAGTTAGGTAGTTAGTTATCTATTTTATATATATATATATATATATATATATATATATATATATATATATATATATATATATATATTTTTTTTTTTTTTTTTTTTGTTAGTTAATTATCTATTTATTTATTTTATATATAATATTTAGTTAGTTACTTAGTTAGATATTTTATATATATAATATTTAGTTAGTTATCTATTTATTTAGTTATTTAGTTATTTATTTTATATATAATATTTAGTTAGTTATCTATTCATTTATTTATTGTATATATATATATATATATATATATATATATATATATATATATATATAATATTTAGTTAGTTAGTTAGTTATCTATTTATTTAATTAGTTATTTCTTTTATATATATTAGTTAGTTAGTTAGTTAGTTAGTTAGTTAGTTAGTTATCTATTTATTCATTTATTTTTTTATTTTATATATAATATTCCACACACACTCATTCACACTCATACACTTTGAACAATTTAGTTTACTCAATTCACCTCTACCACATGTCTTTAGACTCTAGGGGAAACCGGAGCACCCGGAGAAAACCCATGCGAACGCAAGGAGAAAATGCAAACTCCACACAGAAATGCCAGCTGACCCAGCCGAGGCTCGAACCAGCGACCTTCTTGCTGTGAGGCGACAGCACTACCTACTGCACCACTGCATCACCCTTATATATATATGCAGGGAAAAAGTATTGAACATATGAAGAAAGGGAGGTGTAAAAAGGCAGTGAAAGCCCAGACAGCAGTTGAAATCTCTCAGTAGTTCTTCAGCAACCCTCTGCTCTTCCTCAGTGTAAATGAATATTTGCTGCTTCAGTCCAACTTTTACATTAGAAGGATGATGAAGATGAAACAAGGGTGGACGTCTCAGCAAAACAATGATGCAAACACAGTCAAAGTAACTCTCAAATGCTTCAAGGAAAGAAAATTAAGCTGTAGAATGGCCGAGCCAATCACCCGATCTGAATCCAATAGAAAATACCAAATAAAGCTCAGATTTGATAGACGAGACCCACAGAACCATCAAGATTTTTACACTCTGCTGAAGTCTGTGAGAAACTCACACGTGAGCAATGCATGTGACTTCATTCTCCATATGAGAGGCGTCTTTAAGCTGCCGTCTAAAAAAACTCTTCTATATTAAACACATTTCAGTAGTTTCTCCTCGTGTCATTTCATTGTTATTACACATAACCCATGTTTGATTTTTTTGTTTTGTTGTATTTTTATGTTTGTATTGTTTAGTTTTAACAAAATCTGGTTCAATTCCATGTCAACAGTCTCTTTACAAACATTATTCCCAGGAAAAACCATGATGTGTTCAACACTTATTGTCCCCATGTATAAATCTCAATTTCCAAAAAGATTACCCTTATGACTAGTTTTGTTGTCCAGGATTACATTTAAAAATGCTGTTTATTTTACAGCTGCAGATTGTGTTAACAGATGGTTGCTCAGCTGTATGTTTTTCTTGGCTTGGCCATGAGGATCAATCATGTGAAAAGTGTCGTAATTTGTTGTCTCATCATTGCTATGTGTTTGTGTAAAGGTGTTTGGGTACAGTCTTGAGGGGGTGTTGTGTCGTGTTGTCTTTTCATGCGCTGCTTTCCTTGGAATCTTATCTGTCCTGTTTTTCCCCCTGAGGACAAAACGACACAAACTCTTGCTTCAGCCCTTTATTAGCGTTAGACCATGGTTTTTGGTAAAACGTTTGACCTCAATAACAGCTGTTCTTTGATTAAAAACTAGTTTAGAGTAAATGGATGCTTCAGATTCCACGCATGACTCGGTGTCTTGTACACTTATGTAATTTGAAGCAGTTTCATGTAATACACACCTAAGGGCAGAACATACATACCATATTATGAGCAGTTTACATCTTAAACATTATTTAAACAATCGTGAATGAGAAGCAAGTAATGAATAAAAAAAATTAAAAATAAATGTGACCAAAAAAAATAAATAAAATTTTGTGTTAGAAAATTGGAATACATTTTTTTCATTATTTTTGTCTCTTTTTCTTTTAATCAAACAATTATTTGTATTGGTCATGTAAGGGTTATATATTAACTGAACTTCTACTGTTGTGTGTGAGTGCTGTGCATACTAATTAGCATTTTTGCAGAAGTAGATAGATAGGTTAAATTAAAAGTTAAATTCAGCTCTGCAGAAACTTCCTGTCTGAAGAGAGGTGTTAAAACTGAACACAGAGCACAGAAAGTTGTATGCTTTTTTGTTGTTGTTGTTGTTGTGCAGAGAATTCATAGAAAAAGAGGAAGTATGTCTGGGGTGCGGCCAATGGAGGACTGAACAATGACTGACAAATGACAAATTTCATTAAACTCCACCTGTTAATATCAGCTGCCTATATAAGTTAAAGTCGGGAAAAGAAAGTTGTTGCGCACCTCCTTTTTGTAACTTTTGCATTGCATTGAGGATAACAAAACTCTGTGAAACGAATTATTCATTTGTATCCAATACATTGTTACGATTTTTGACATTGAAGAAAAATCTCTCCTGACCTTTTTTCTTGAACACGCATGGAATTGATTTAATATTCCAACATTAGTCGTATGTTGCACACACAGTTATATGTTTGGCAGTAACCAAAAATACATTGTTATTGAAAGTTTTAGATTTTTATAATGTCAAAAAGTCATTATAATATTTA